TCTTGTTTTGCGAAGTCTTCTTTGTATAGTTGTTTTTTGTAGTTGACAAAAAATGTAGTTTTTATTGGGACCGAGTGCAGCAATTGCTGTCTTTGACGCCGCAAAAAAGTTTCCGGCATGTATGGATGACAACTCAACGGAGGGTGCAGTGTTGATTGGGTAAGACAGGTGCAGAACACTTTCATTGCTCTTAAGGGACGCAGGTTTCCATGTCTTGCAACATATATGCTTTCAGGATGGAGAGTATAAGCGTGCTGTACAAGAGGGTTAATGCTACAATGGGAATCCCACCTCATGAGTGAAGATGAAGTTGGACAAAGCACTTGGAACTTGGACCACAGTGTCAATGTTTGGGTCTCCAGCTTTCAATGGACTCCATCTCGCATGGTCTCCCGTTGAGTGGTATTTCTGTTCTTCATTCGGTTGCGGCGCTTGTGCTCTGGCATGTTATAGATTCCTCCAGCAAATTTTGAGAACTCTGAGATTGTTTCTGCCTCCTTCTGTCCGCCTCTTGCAAGTGTAAGTGGGTCTTCGCTCCTGTTTTGCGCTTCGCCCTCCTAAGCTCTGCACTGACCGTGCGTCTGTGTAGGTTTTCTTTGTTGGGAGCCCCGATGGCCGTTGGGGAGGAGATGGCTGCATCTGTGCTCCCATTTCAGCAGCGACAGCTTACGGGTAGTCACTCGCAAACGACGGCTCTTTGAGCCCGCTCAGGCAGTCGCTACCAGAGCACTCGCTGTGCTGTACAGCCTATTTGTCTAGCTGCTTGCATTATACACAGCAAGTTATACCGCCGATCACCTTCACCCACAAGCACATCTTAGTATCCAATGCCAAGTTCGTCTTGGGACACCGCGCTTGGCTCCAGTCGAAACACCTTGAAGGTGTCTTTCGGATCTTCCGGCTACCTCAGCCTGGCTCGTGGTTTTTCGATGCGCCAGCGAAGTTTAGGTTTCCTTTTGCGCTATGAGCCCAGGCTCGCGCTTATGGCTTTGGGCGGCGTGGTTGCGCAGGCACAACACAAGCGCCCTCTGGGCCATCCGAGATCAAGCCAACGAGATGCTGGCTAGACGAGCCCCCCCCTGTGAGGCCGCCAAGCAGCTTCTGCCTATGTATAAGCAGATCCTGCGTGATCGGCAGGAGAAAGGGTCCTTGCTTGGAGTATCTAATTAGCCGTTTTCAGTGCACCATTTACAGCAGCTCCATCATGAAGTGGTTCCCACACTTTGTGCATTGCCCCTCCTCGGCGACCGCCGCCGTATCTCGGGCATATGCATTACGTTGGCTGGTATCACAGGAGGCTGACACGGACTTCGTGTTTAGGGTTAACTTCAGCCGGCCCACATATTGTGGAGGCTGCCAGGCGCCAGTGACGAAGGAGCTGCTTATTAAGTTGGGTAGACATGTGGATGCTTCCTTATGTGCTGTCTGCCTCCAACGCCTCGGGATCCATGTGGACATGAGATGGAAATGCTGCCCCACGCCCACGCTGGAGCCGCACCTCTTCACTGAAAATGAGACCTGGGTCGCAGTAGACCTCCCGGCCGCTGCTCTGACTCCTCGCAAGAGCGGCCCGCCCACCGCTGATGTCGTTGACTATCTTCAGGCGACTTGTGTACTTTGCCATAATGACATAATGCCGATAATTCGGTCAGGCACTGGCTGGGAGGATGCCCGGTTGTCATTGCGGCTTCGCGCTTGCTGGGCCTAGACGGCCCCAACTCTCTGCCTGGAAAGGTGCACAAGTGGGCGGCGGCCTCGGTTGAGTTGCTCGCACAAACTAGACGTTACCTGAGGGAGCTTGCGCCATGTGGTGCCCGGGCTGGCGACTGCCAGAGCCGCCAGCGCATGTCAGTCCTCTGGGCCATGCAGTCAGTATTGCGTCCGCCACCTACTGGAAGGCCACTCCTAGGTTCCGTGCGATTTATGGACCGCCAGGGCCGGGTGTTGAACGCGCACATATGGGAGGGTGTTTGGACCATCGAGGATTCCAGCTGGACCCCGCGTCAGTCTTTACCACTGGGAGGCACAGAACCAGCTGGGGGCAGTCCACCTTGAAAACGACTGGAGCATTCCAGCAGAAGCAAACCATTGCCATTCTCGACCCGCGGTGCCCTGAGGTTGGATATCTATACCTTCCACATGAAGGACTTCAAGCGAATGTGCGCTTTGAGTTCCGGCCTTGTGGTTGTGGACAACTGCACACCTATGTAGTTGCACTGTCGCACATTCTTGTAGGAGGTTTTCATAACTGCCTCTGGTAGGGACTCCCCACGAACCACGATCCACGTGCAGTTTGATGGGGGTTGTGATCGCCATCTTCAGGTTGGGGGGGCTGGTGCCGCTCTCTGGCAGGGCAGCCCCGTCGGGCCGGCCCTGCCCGGGCGCGTATGATGCCGAAGCTGAAGCCTCTGTCCTCGCAGTTGAGGATGCGTATACCTTCTCCCTTGCCGTTCGTGCACAGGGAGCGCCCATTACGGCCATTCACTTCCAAGGGGATAATCTGGCCATAGTCGCCTACTTTGCAGGCTACGGTCGGGTTCGCCGCCCAGCACTGGCCAGGAGGTTCCAGCAGGCGTCGGACCGGCTGGGGCGGTTGCATACCCACACGATGTGGGAGCATGTTCCGCGCAGCGCCAACGGTGTCGCCGACCACCTTGCTGGCGAAGCGCTTCAGGAAGCCAGGTTGATGCTCAAACGAGGGGAGGATCCCCGTACTGCCAGTTATGTCAGTCTCTATGATGCCCCCTTTGAGGTAATGCCGGCCTCGCTCCAGCTTACAGCTGATCTCAAGGACCTTTTCCAGGACGACTCCCCCCGCGCGCATGTCCTCAGCAAGCCTGGTGCGGATAAGTCGTGATAAGTCGGGGCTCTTGGAGTTCCTGCCTGCGCGCCGGAATGATATCGCTGGTGCAGACGGAAGCCAACCAATCGATGAAGGAGAAGAAACAGGCTGACCGACAGCGTCAGCGGGCCACCAAGAAGGACGAGGAGCAGAAGCGACGACTGACGACAGAAAGTGGCTGCAGAAGCAAAGGAGATCGAGGATCTCAGCGGCTCAGACCAAGAAAAAACCAAAATGGGTGTGAAGCCATCCCCGTGGCTACAGCATGAGTTGGTCTGAGCATGTGCATTCACGTGAGCAGTGGCCGCCGGCGTTCCACGAAAGGTGTGCACAGGAGCCCGCCACATGATGCCTTGGCCCGCCTGATTTGTTAAACCTTTGCGTATGGCATAAAAGTGAGTTGTCAGCTGCTGCGCAGAAGGTTAAAATTTGAGACAGCAATCGAAGCATGTTCTTCAACAAACAAAAAAAAGCCACACGTTGTCGCTTTACGGGGAGTAGAAACGAACACAAACAAAGTGAACAAACACTGAAAGCATAGGTTAAAAGTTCAAGCGAATGTCTTTTCTTACATTACAAACAACCAGGAGGAAAACACACGTGTTCACTTTAAGGGGTAAAGAAGCCGCAAACAAAGTAAAGTGAAGCAATGATTGAAAACATAGGTTAATGTTCAATCCATCGTCTTCTCCGACAAACAAAACCAATGAAACCACATGCTGTCGCTTCAAAGGTTGTAAGTTCCTGGTAAGCAGTAAGAAGATTCGAAAGTTGAAAACGTGGCTACAGTTTAAGAAAGGCAATCGAAACTAAACACACGTTAAACTTCAACCGAACGTATTTTCCGACAAAAAACTGATAATTGAAGTTAAAGTTCAAGCGAATGTCTTTTCCGAGAAGCAACAAAGAGGAAGCCACACGTGTTCGCTCCAAAAGCATAAGATTAACAAACGACGTGCATTCATTGAAGACATTGTTAAAGTTTGAGAAAGCAATCGAAACTTACAAACGGGGGGTGCGAAATTAACCATTTTTGGGGGAGAACCCACTGCTACGGAGCTCGGTTTTCGCGCTAAAACAGATCCACTCCTGTGGAGATAGTATTTCGCTCCGAAACTAATTTGTCTGGGTAGAGTTAGTAGCTTTGAATGTAACTTTTGGGGGTGGAGTCAGTTTCTCCGCTCCGAAACTAATCTTTTGGGTTCGGAAACAAAATAGCCACTCCTGTGAAGGTAGTTCCTCGCTCCGACTCGAACCTTTTAGCTGGTTTTTCCTGCCGGAAGCAACCCCATCCTGGTGGAGTTAGTTAGTTTCTCACTCCGAAAGTAACCTTTCTTGACGGAGCTAGTTTCTGCCGCCGGAAACGAACCTGGTGCCACGGAACTGTCTCTCGCACGGAAATAAATTAAACCCACCCCCGGTGGAGTTAGCTTCTCGCGCCGAAACTACCTTTTCTGGGCAGACTCAGTTGTCAGAAACAAACCCCCCCTGTGTTAGTTTCTCGCTCCGGAACCTTGCTGGGTGGAGATACTTGTTCCGTGCGGAAAGAAACCCACCCGTGTGGAGTTAGTTCTTACTCCGGAACCGGGGTTACGTAGTTAGCTTCTCGCAAATAAATAATTTCTGCAGTGGAATATTATTAGTTTCTCCTGAAAGTAACAACTCTTGGGTCCGTCGTATATGTTGGATCCATGCCAGTTCACGAAGCCTTTAAAAGGAGAAGCTGACACCTTCAACCAGGAAGGGTTCGGGCAAGAAATCATAAATCTGGCAGATAGAGCCATGGGAGTGCCACTACGCAGCAGAAACTGGCCTGGAAAATGTTGGTCAGCTCTGCGCTGGCGGTGTGGGCGGCGGCCTGGAAAGTGTTCCGCCCGGCGGCTCACCCGTCGCCCACCCTGGGGTGGGCGTAGTTCAATGACAGCTGTGATGTCACTGCAGTGTGGGTGGGCACTCTCTTCTGACTGTCGTTGCGCCAAGCATAGTAACACAGTACACCGCTGGTGTTAAGAGTGTGTGAAGATCGACTCGTTAATTTCGAAATTTGCAGGAGCAACCCGCCAAAACTTCTACATGTCACACGTGCGAAGCAGCCCATTTTCCGGCTCAGCTCTGTGCACGTGCCATCACTGCTTCTGTTTTGCCGACAAATCTTGCCATGACGACCACGGGTGTATGGTCTGCAGACAAAGCAGGCTGGTCCTGGGCGTTTTGTGTTCATGAAATCAGGTACAAACGCGGTGGTTTTGCATCTCGACTGTGACGAGTTGGAACAACACAGGTTTGTCTGCAAAGCTTGGCTAGGCTTCGAAATGAAGCGCAAGTCATCCTTCTCATTGCTCGATGATACCGCGCATCGTCCAGCTCCTCATGTGGAAGGACAAGACGCTGAGTTGAAAGACGCTGTGGGCAGTCGGCTTCCCGTGTTGTTTCTTCGGTCACAGGAGTGAAGCTTCTTCCCACTTGATCATGCTTCAGATAAGGATGATGGTGGACGTATGGAGAAGCTTCAGCAGCTCATGGCTTATTACGATTCCTGGTCCTTATCTGGGTTCCATGTTGTAACAGGCTGTTGTCGCAAACAAGTGGCCAAGGGATCGCAGATAATGTTCGTCGTTTCGGCATGCTTGGGCTTTACCAATTTCAACAAGCAGTTTGTTCGGATTCGTGTTTTTGTCCGCAGACGCCTCAGATAGTGGATTCCATGCTTGAATATATACATTTTCCCACGCTGCAGCCTTATTCACTTCGACCCGCAACCACAGTGACCAATCCAAGGAGCCGAACGACCCCGAGTCGATCCAAAAATCATTTGCCCGGCATCTGGAGTATTCTCTCGCGTGCACACGGTTCAACTTCACCATGCAGGCCTTCGAGTTGTCAGTATGTGAGGGGGACGGCGAGACGGAATTGAAGAGATCTTGCAGACAGAGCATTGCCGTAATCTGAACGTCGTGAATGAGCTGATTTGCAGGATGCCTACCGTGCAGCTGGTCTTGTTCTTCGTGATCGCTTGCTCGAGTCCTTGAATGACACCAACACCTATTACCGGGAGCAGGATGTGAAAAGGCATGCCAGCTTTGTTTACACACTTTAGAAATCGCCATCTTCCTTGCTGCAGGGGGTATTACTTGTCGGCCGAGTACTTGATTGGTCGTCACATGCAGAACGCAATTGCCAATCTGGACTTGGAGCAGCCGTTCAAGGATGGTGAGCACAGAGCACAGGGGGAAACCTCACCCCACACTCCTAAATCCTCGGGTTCAGCAGCCCTCCTGCAGGCTGCCTTTGAAGACTTGGGCATGAAGCTCGAGGCGCGGCTGCGCCACAGAGTTGGCTGTGTTCAGCGAAGAGCCCATGCTCTTGGCAGGAGTTGTTCAGCGAAGAAGCCGATCCTGCACTGGGAAATGGAGGCCTGGGCCGCTTGGCGGCCTGCTTCCTGGATTCAATGGCGACCCTGCAGCTCAACTGAAAGTCAACAGTTGCAACACGTCAGGGTTTGCAGAGTATTAATTAGTACCCGCCACAGTCGCTAGTCGGATGCTGTGCAAATCTCCGGCTCTTCGACTGATCGAGGTCGCTCCCATGCTGGGGCTATGGCATCCGCTACAGCTACGGAATGTTCAAGCAGGGCATCAAGTGCCTCGGATGTGGTGCTTTCGGACTTCTGTCTGGGAAGATTCCGGGGTGCCTGTGTTCGCTGCTCCTTCCAGGGATGGCCGGCAAATTGAAGAGCCCGATTTCTGGATCGGCAGGGAAGCCCAGAGTACTTTGCCCATGTTTCTGATCCTTCCGTGCGCATCAGAAGCGGCTGCATGGCTCCTGAGGTGACGGCTGCCCCTTTGAGATCCCTCGTCCGGATGTCACATACCCTGTGCGCTTCTATGGCAGAGTGGAAGAGGTTTACGAGAACGGCAGGAGCGTGTCAAGGCCCATGCGGCTCAGAAGTCTCCGTTCACCCTGAAGTGAGGCCTTTCAGAGCAATCTCACATCGCGACATGCTGGCTGTGTGGTAGGTGGGTCGGGGGCGAGATCGTACAAGCAATGGCGTATGACAATCCCATTCCCGGCTTTGATGCTCGCAGTTGCAGGAAGAGAGTTGAAAGACTGGTCTCAGTGTGGCTGTGCACAGACTGTTTCCGATGCCAAGGACACCTACAACACAAACAATCTGCGACTTTGGCGAGCTTGTCCCAGCGAGGACAGCCTTCCGACATGGTGGGGACAGTCACGAGCTGAATGATATGGGCCGGTAGCACACGTGAAGCCAAGACTCGATGGCCAGAAACAGAGGAGATGTTGAAAGAGAGAGGATCAACGAGTGTCAAGTGATAGCCTAGTGATGTAAGACCATGCAGCCCTTCAACAGACGGGCATCCAACGGAGGTTCGCCCTCAGGCCTGGTGCAGGTCCGCCAGTTCCCGCTCCCTCTCACCCAACGAAACTGAGAAAGCGATCACACAGCGGCGCAGCAGTGAAGGAGTTCGACTTGGATGCCTTCAGCAGCGCGCAGTTTCAAGATGCGATCACACAGCGGCGCAAAGCCGAAGATCTGTCTGCGGTGCTCTACCCGAACGTGCCAGAGCAGCTTTTGGCAGCCTTTGGATTCCTGTGGCCGTTGAGGTTCTGAAAAGCAGTGATGCATCTGCACTATGCTTTTTGCCTCCTGTCCTCCGAGGATGCAACGTACGCTGGAAGGGAGCTTCGCCTTCGCCAGCAGTACTTCTTCGTCAGCGCGTCTCTGCAAGACCGCTCCTCATACCTCCGGAATGTTGCCGCACTGTGGTCTGCGGCTCAACACTACAATTTGTCAGGATTTGTTGCGCGAATTCATCAAGCGACCAAATTATCAGTGGGAAGACCTCCCGCAAAAGGCCCTGCACCCATTGGCGATGCTCCATACTTTCGCACGATTTGTATGTCGTTGCTTCCTTCAGCGTTGTTCAAAACCGGGCTGCAGGTTGCCGTGCAGATGAACGACACGCATCCTACCATTGCGGTTGCAGAGTTCATGCGCCTTTTGGCCGCTTGCTCGCGACACAGTCGGAACTCAAGCAATCCAGAAAGCATCTATGGCCGTCTCAAGAAGCAAGCTAGTGCCAGCTTTCGACTAACGAACGCCCAAGGTGGATGTGCAACAGCTGGATTGGGACAGAGCATGGGAATTGACCAGGAACTCGCTTAGTGTTTGCTGCTGCAGGTTCACTGGAACATGAAGTGTTCTGAGGCCTGGTATGCAGCATCTGAAGTGCGCAGTCCTGTCAGCAGGAAGTGCTTGAACTATACCAACCACACTGTCATGCCGGAGGCCCGCAGCCGATGAAATCTCGCTTGAATTGACAGCGCTGCGTAGTTCACTTGACTTTGCGACCGAGGCTTTGGAGAAATGGCCAGTTGAGATGATGGAGCGGATGCTTCCGCGGCACCTGCAAATCATCTATCACATCAACGGCATCTGGATCCAGAAGCTGCTGCAAAGGCTGGTAGCACGTGGAAGCTGCTCTTTTTGGTTTGGTTGTGGGCATCAAGAAACCGCACTGCTTTGCAGGTGGGGTGACGGGCCTATCATCGCGGCTTTGAGCATCGTGGAGGAAGGTGACGTTAAGAAGATCCGCATGGGCCACCTGGCCATCATCGGCTCAAACAAGATCAACGGAGTCGCGGCTCTCCACACCGAGATCATCAAGAAGGAGTCCGTTTTCTGCACAGCTCGTCCGAGCAGATTCGTAGGGGCAGGCTGCCTTTCAGGAAACCTTCCCTGAGTTCTACAAGTGGTGTTGCGACAACGGAGAGCATGACAAGATTGCTTCTCGGCTTGCTGTGGTCGGCCGGCAAAATCGATTGTGCATGATATGAAAGGTGAACATGACTAACGGCGTGACGCCGCGGCGCTGGATCCACTGTGCAAACCCAGCACTTAGCGAGATCTTCACCAGATACCTCGGCAGCTCGGTGCGATTAAGCGGATCTGCTCTCGAAAGAGACGACCACACAGACAACAGGAACGAGTGTCTCCCTCCTGCCTTACACGGCTTGTGCTGAGGCTCACAGGAGTGGCTTACCGACATGACGAAGCTGAAGGTTGGATATCAATGCATCGACTCTGAGCCAGTGGAACCGCACCTGCAAAGGGCATGCTGGATTACAAAGACGACAGCAAGTTGCACGATGAGCGGACGACTTACGCACATTTCATAAGCTGGTCTCAGCCGTGTTGGTGCTCCAAGAGCGGCCTGAGGTGGATGGCCATGAAGAGTGGCTGCAAAGCCAAGTTGGCTGATTGGCTGAAATCAACGATGGATCTGGAGATCGACCAAGATGCTTTGATCGACATCCAGACTCTTGGCATCCTTGAGCTTCAATGCTCATCTAGCCGGATTCAGTTCTGCGTTTCAGCAGGGCCAGCGTGGAAGCTAAGGATCAAGCGAATTCACGAGTACAAGAGGCAACTGATGAACATCCTGCTTCTTGGCAGCACTGTGAACGGCATAAGGTCTGGACGATGTCATCCTTAGGTCCTTGTTGTCCATGATGCCGAACTCATGCTATCTTGCCCTGCAGTTTCGTCATCCACCGCTACCTGGACCTGAAGAAGAAGTCTCCAGGTGAACGTGCCGCCGCCCAAAAGCGTGTGGTCCTGATTGGTGGGAAGGCACGCTTTTGCTGGTGAAACGACCAAACCGCATGCTTGCTCATTCAACTTTCCCGGTCCCTCCTCTTCACTGTAGGCCGCTTCGGCATACGTCAATGCGAAGATCATTATCAAGCTCATCAACAACGTGGCAAAGGCTGGCCACCGAAGCTTCCCACCGTAAGTGCGACTAATGGTGGAAGGAGGTGGAGGAGGGAGAGGGAGAATGAGAGGGAGGGAGAGGGAGAGGGAGGAGGGACAATTCCTGTACTGTACTGGTCCTAGGAGTGTCCTTCACGTGTTTTTGGAAAGCAGCCCAGAAGACGTAAAGGTAGCTCCAGTGGCTGCAATGGCGCTGTTGGCGGCCGTGATGGGACTGGAAGTCACAGGTCGCACAGGAAGTCAAACACTGCGGGTTCACACCGAAGGTATCGGTTTGGGAGGAGAGAGAGGAAGAGAGCGAGAGGGAGAGAGAGAGGGGAAAGCGAGAGACAGACAGACAGAGAGAAGGAACCTGTCTTGTGCAGGCAAAGCTTGAATCGCTGTGTTGACAGTCTTGAGTGACGGGACTAAACACCGGAAGTTAGTCTTGAATTCGGCATGGTTCACCACCCCCGGATTTTCGCTGCCAGTTTCGCAACAAGCCTTGCCTCCACGGTTTTTGCCACCATTCCGGGGCATGTCTTTCGCCGAGAATTCAACCATCTTCAACCTCAAGGTTCCACAGAGCGGCGCTACGACATGAGTTCTTCAAGGACAGGGGGCCCAGAGAAGAGAAGAAAGACGACAGATAGAAAGGAAACCAACCTCGATGGAAGAGCTGCCGAAAAGAGACGTAGCGTTGACCGATTTGACAGGTGATCAACAACGACCCCGAGACGCAGCAGTATCTCAAGTGCCTCGAGAGTTACCTCATCGGTTGAACAGCATCGGAATTCTGAAGAGGGATCATTCTCATTGTCGTGATGATGTCCCTGGAAGGTGCGCCTTCGTGCCGAACTACTGTGTCTCCGCGGCACAGGTGATGATCCCCGCATCGGACATCTCGGAGCACATTTCCACGGCTGGAACAGAAGCTTGCTGCACGTGGCCAGGAGTTACGGAAGTTCTTTCGTGGCCTGGAACTCTGAGTGCATCATCTGCCAAGGAAGCCTCTGGCACATCCAACATGAAGCTACCTGGAGAGTTTATCCACAGAGACTCATCGTTCCGTTGCATCCACTGTGAATCTAATGCGCAGACGGCAGTGGCTGAAGCATGGACAGACTTCGGCCCATGATTCTTATGCAGGTGATCGTGGTACGTTGTCCAGAGTCCAAACCCTATTCAGAATAGATTTGTTGGCACCCTTCTGGCACAGCAGGCTCGAGGTCTGGTGCGAGTAAACCCACTAACCGAACTTAGTGGGGTTTCAGCAGAGGCTCGCTTGGGCCTTCTCACAGTCACTGCTTTTCCTTGTCATCTGTCTTGGGCACGAGATTTCTTTGCGGTCTTCTGAAGGTTCGTCATGAATGGTGGCCTGATTGTTGGAACGATGGATGGTGCGAACATCGAGATCAGGGAGGAATGCGGCATCCTGCCTGCAAGCTATCCGTCGCACCGAATGCGCTGGCGTGTCTGTTGGACACCAGGCCATGACACGATGTTCATCTTCGGATGCCAGGAGAATGAGGCCGACTTTTGCTGTGATAGTGCAAAGAGAGCACAGGGCAGAGCAAGAGCGAGTAAAGCGAGCGTGGCAGGTGGCAGGCATTGCTGCCCGGGCGCAGGAAGGCCATTACCCGATCGATGGGCGCCTGCAGGCCGAGAATCAAAAGCACGTGGACAGCGCGACGTTTGTTTGCGCCCCCGCGCATCCCTGGAAGCCTGGAGCTGCAGGCCGTCTTTGACGAGATTCGCAGCGGTAAGTTCGCTGGCCAGGCGCGAGCCATCAGAGCTGCTGCCCACTCCACCCAGCCTCCCACCTGCCAGTGTTCTTTTTTGGTGTTGCTCAGAGGCCGAGCCCGAGGCGCAGGGTGAGTTCGAATCGCTGATCAACCGCATGTGCAACACTCGCGCGGCAGGACCTCTTTTTTTTCTTTTTTGCACGTCTTTTTCTTTGAAGGCTTTGCAACTGCAATTGACTCCTATCGGAGGAACTTGGGATGGAGACAGGCGACTTGGCCGGAGCTATGTTGTTTTGGCTGCACGAACGAAAATGCCATTCACTGCTGAGGTATTTGGTGATCCACGACTTCCCTTCGTTCATCGATGCGCAGGCACTTCCTTTGTTGGGGTTGTGTCTGCGCCCGCTGCCGAAGCACCTGGAAGCACATTCGGCATGACTCCACCTGATTGTCCAAGCTTCAGGCGAGGGTGGATGAAACCTACAAGAACAGGCACCAATGGTGCAAGCTGAGCATCCAAGCAGCCGCATCCATGGCGTGACTTGGCGAAAGCAAAAAGTACAGGCATAACATGGGCGCATTGCAGTTTTCAGAGTCTCGTTTGCCTTGGAGGCAATTCTCCACCGATCGAACCATGCGAGAGTACTCCAAGGCCAGCTTTCGATGCTCGCATGCGATGCGATGCTTTGTCCTTCCGTAATTCAGTCCCCCTCTGATCTCTCTCTCTCTTCTCTCTTCTTTAGTCTCGTGTGTCTTGATGATCTTTGGAGGTGATCTGGGAGATCGAGCCGGCCAGGCGCCCCGTGAACGAGGCTCTGCAGGGCAGGGAGCTGTCGCTGTCGAGACGGAGCCTCCTCCTCCTCCTCCTCCTCCTCCTGCTCCTCCCAAGCCTTCTCCTCTCTCTCTCCCGTCCTCTCCTCCTGTCTCTCAGTTGAGATCTCTTCTCTTCTCCGCTGTCAGGAGATGGCGGCGAGGAAGCAGGCGGTCGGCAAGGACAAAGAGACCATCGCCAAGGAAGCGGCAGAGAATGCCGCGGCCAAGGAGGCAGCCGCCAAGGAAGCAGCTCAGACTGCGGCTGTCAAGGAGGCAGCTGCGAAGGAAGCTGCCAAAGAAGCTGCGACCAAGGATGCGCTTGCCAAAGAAGCAGCCAAAGAGGCGGCTGCAAAGGACGCGGCTGCCAAGAAAGCTGCAAAGGATGCTTCTGAGAAGGAGGTAGCTGCCAAGGAAGCTGCAAGAGATGCAGCCGCTAAAGAGGCAGCAGCCAAGAAGGCTGTCAAGGATGCCGCAATCAAGCGAGAGGCAGCTGACAAGGAGGCTAGCAAGGCAGGTGCCGGATGCCATCGGATGCCCCGAGACTGAACTTGGCCTCCTGTGCGGTCGCAGGCCGACGCCAAGGCCGCCCCGGGCAGAGGCCGGTGAGTTGTGCACATAGTCGCGACATGATTGGCTGCCTCTCACTCCGAGGCTGAAGAAGCCGATCCCATCAGCAATGAGAGAATTTTGACGCAAGCTCTTCCCGTCCCTGTCCTTTTATGATTTGTAGTGCCAGGGCAGGGACCAGGGACCTGTGAGCCCTGCTAGGGGTTCCCGACTGGGCAAAGACCAGATGAACAGGTTCCCAGAAATGCGACATGCGAGTTTTTAAGGCGATGGATTTTTGCGGGTCTTGTGACGCTATTGCACGTCCGCATATCTTTTCCAGCGGAGCAGGGGATAGGTTTACTAAGAGCCACGCGCTAGTCACGCTAGTCTGCGATCCTGCTCTTTGATCCCCGTAGACTCAGCAGATCGCACCGCCATCGTGGAAGAATCGCGCATGTTTGAGGTGGACCATCATCATGTTTCAAGATTTTGTGCAGACCGAACGTTCTGGTGCCGCACATTCCGTGTCTCGACAGATTGACCCAATCGGTCGTGACGACTTGTGGGGCAGATCACTGGGCTTGGCACCAACCCTTGACCAGGAAGCTGGTTCCCCTGAACTCTCACCGAGTTCCATCATTTCAGATCGACCAGCATCACAGAAGTGTGCTGGAGAGATGCCGTCGCAAGCATCGGAAACAGAGCCTGCAGCTTGGGAATGCAGTTGAACGAGCGAAGTCCAGTTTCACCAGCGTCGAGGTCCTTGGTTTGGAGCCACAGTGTCGCGTTATCTGCTCAGCTCTCCATGGTAACGACATTTTCGTTTTGTCATCCCCATACGCTCCCAAACAACCCGCAGTTCAAGCCGAACAAGCCACCTCAGCCGCTTGCTGGCCTCAGTTTCGTTTACGAGCGATGGCAAGCTATGCGATCATTCCTTCTGGTGATCTGACAGTTTTGGAGCGTCAAGTCGCCTCTGGAACGGAGAAGCTAATTCACAGGGCCAGCTGGAAAGGCTGCCGGCGGGGAAAGAACTGCTGTGCACTTGTGCACTGGAATCTCGTCGTGTCTCTCTTTGTCGAGGACAGACGGTGGCGGTACTAGACGTCCGGGGCAGCTCCCGCCAGTTCCTCAGTGCCTCCTTCTTTTGGTAAGGCCAACTATTTCACGAGAACAGAGGTTGTAGGCCAATTATGTAGGTCACATTTTTGTCCGGAAGAAAGCCCTTAGGCCAGTTCGAGAGGGAGCTGCAGCAGCTAATGGTTGAAACACCACTGGGAACTCATCCGCATGTGGTCCAGCACCTGGGCCGACCGGTGGCATGACATGTTGTTCGCACAGACCAGACGCCGTCCGCCGAAGGAACTGTCCATGACCAGGAATGAACACGGTGCCTGATCTCAGCCATTGCCACCTGATGCGTGAAGTCAGGATCCTGGGAGAGACCGACGATGGTCAGATCGTTAACGAGTGGGCTCCTCTCGGGTCCATGATCCTTGGCATGGCATTTGGACAAGCCGGAACCTGGGCGTCTCTTGTTGAGACGTCATGCATGGTGGGTCCATCCCTGACTGCATGAGCAGTCTTGAGACGACGGTAGCTGCAGCCTTCAGTGGATGCTTCAGTTGGATGCATAGCACTCAGTCGCTATCGCGCATCATTTCTGTTCAAGTCTGAAAGATGTTTTCAGACAGCTGCGGCAATGGTCTCACACAGATGCAGTCCAACGCGTGAATTTGATGAACATAGAATCTGCACACTCCTGAATCGTCGAGCTGCAACAATCTCAGTTGCCAGTGGATCTGCCCTCACTTGCAAAAAAACCTTCATTCCTGTTGCGGGGAGAAAGCTAAGGACCAACTACGATGGTTCAGGAACACACTTCACGTCCATGGCCGGCTCGCTACCAGACCAGACTCGCTTGCGAGGTTTCACGTGGAGTATGCGAGTATATGCGAGTGTGAGAGCACGAATGCGTGGCCTCAGGACTGTTTGTCTGAGACTACATAATGTGCGCATCGCATGTATGTATGTACGCGTGTACGCATGTGTGTATGTACCTAGGTATGTAGCTGTGAAGCTGTAAAGATATGCATGTTGGTATGTACGTGAATGTACGTATGGATGTAGCTATGTTCGCATGCACCGATGCAATGGCACTTTCCAGCGACTTGTATCCCTTCAGAGCCTACGCGTGCAGGCCGTGCCTGTACAATGTACAAGTACTGCCCGCGAGCAGAGTCAGACCCTTCCCCGGCCGAGGTTGTCTTGGTCACTCCTGGCTGTCATTGCTTGCCAAGTCGCGTCTGCTGCCGAGGCCGCTTCACTGGCGCTGTAGGGAGAAAAACCGGTGGATCAGAATGCTCTGAGGCGTTCTGGAACTCGAGTTTGCTCCATCGCGACCTAGCCGCCAGGAACGCTCCTTGCCACAGGACATTGAATCTTAGACGTTTGAAACACTAGGATTGTGACATTCTGGGTGTAACGGCTGTGCCTGAGTAGAAGCATTTAGGATGCTGAGCTGCGGAATCCATGCTGCCTAGGTGTTGGTCTTCAGCCTCGACCCCCCGCTGGTAAAGCTGACAGATTTCGGCCTGGTTGCCACCTCTGGGCAGGAGCGCCACTGGGACGGAAGAGCAGTCCGTCAAACAAGTTTGTTCCGCCAGAAGTATTGCACATGAGGAATTGGAAGCAAGTGCTGCATGTGAGTTGGGATATTTGCTTGAGGCTTCACGTGGCCGAAGGGTCACGCCATGGGAACGAGGTGGATGGCACCTGAAAGCCAGCCTGATGCCGAGTTCCATTTCGACGACAAGACGGACAGGGCTTGTTGCCTCAGGCAGAACTCAGAGCTGAGGGGACAGGATCAGATCCAGCCTTGAAGGAGATCTACACGTTCGGCTGCTTCCTTTTCGAGTTGGCGACGCGGGGGACCATGGTACCCTACTCACGCACGGGGAATGATCGCATTCCCGCCCTGCCGCCTGGCGAGAAACGGCTCCGGTGCATTCCTGTCCGGGTGTGGCTTCTGAAAGTGTGTCCAGATCGTGATCCAAAGTGCCATTCTTCAACCCGAGCAGCCTGTCTACCCCTCGGCCCCGACACTATGCCTTGCTTCCCGAAGCACATGTCGAAGTTTACAGATACAGCGAAATGCCACACGAGGAAGAGGGCCGGGGCGCTGCCCTGGGCGGACCTTGGGGCTGCTCCAGCTTTCCCAGCAGGCTTTCGACAGCTGATTGAGGCATCCAGCGACGAAAGCTGTCTGTCTGCCTGTCTGTCTGTCCGCATGTACGTACGCATACATTCCAGAACTTGCGACATCTCAGATGTGCTGCGAGCGTCTTCCTGGAAATCGCCCGAGCTTCAGCCAGCTCCAACAGTACCTGCAGCGATTGCGGGAGACGGATGGTGAAAGCATTTTTCCTGCGACCACGCTGGCATGCCCGCTGAACGAGGACCCCAGCCACTCGTAGAAATTGACAGGAAGATTCATGGCTTTCTGCCACACCGGGAACCAAATGATTCTGGTTGCAGTCAGACCTGGGTGCAAGCCAGAATTGGAGCAATTTAGAGTTTCGCCCCAGGTAAGCCTTGGGTGCCTACATCTCCTCTGCTGCGGGGCTTCGACCGTGATTTCGTGCTACCTGCAGGGCTGAGCGAGCTCCAGGCGAAGACGACTGTTTGGAGAATGTCTCGAGACAAGGCCCCGCAGTCTTTTCCGCCGTTCGAAGACGTGAAGAGCAAACAAGGCTGTTGCGTCGCTTCGGCACTGTTCGGCTGTTGACTTCTCCGTCAGGTCTATTCGCTGCCCTTTTTCAGCGACATGGCCTGCGACGCCCTGCTGCTTGCCTTAGACAGAAAACGTACGCAGCAGAAAGCAAAAAACTTCCCTTTCGGCCCTCCGAGCCTCGCCGAGCCTCGAAGCGAGCGCCGCCGCACAGCGCCCTGCGAAATCTCCCCCCCATCTTGCGCCGGGTGCCGGGGCCTTTTTGTCCCTTCTCAGAGAGCCACTGTGTTGCACTTGGAAAGGCTGGAGGACCTCATCCAGTTTCATCGCGCCGGGTGCCGGCCCTGAGTTGCTCTTTCGGGCGTGTCGTCATGCTTCCTGTGACAAAGAGTGCAATGCAGTAATTCTGCGAGCAATTTGCGACGGCTGCATCTCTGCAAGTAGCGAATCATGTTCACTGCCCCTGCGGCGCTACTGCTCATCAGAAGAAGTGCCTTCTTGGAAGTCCTGCGCGAGTGCCGTATTGAATGCACATGAATCGCACACCTGCATTAATTTCCGAACGGTGGCCGAGTCAATGCTTTATTTTGGTTCTTTTGCTGTGTAGATCAAAGATGTGACCCAAATGTAAAGGTAATCGACTTGCTGGGTCCATCGGCATTTTCTGCTATTCAAGTTGCTGCTAGCAACATGCTTTGCTCGCCGGATCTCGCAGAGATCCTCTGCGGTTGTTGTCGCGGTTAACTTCCACTGCCATCTTTGAGAGAGTCCTGACGATCAATCTGCCGACGTTGTCTGCAGTAGTCAAACCTTCAATGAGATACTATCTTCCAAAAGTGTCTTGCCGCGGACCTGTGCCCATGCGACACTAAGGCGACAGACCTCCCGGGCAAATTCCAACAACCGCTTCTCGCTGCGGCTTTCCGAGCTGGGCAGCTTAGCCGAACATCCTTCCGGCCCATGCTTCCGGCGGCGTTTGCCTTCTGCAAGCACCTTGATGCTGAGACCGTCTCGAGATGCCGAGGCTACGAGCCCTTCCTTCGGGCCCTTGTTGAAGAGGTTGCTTCGCCCATGTTTGGGCAGCTGCAGGACCGGCCGCCAAACGAGGGAAGGGTTGCGGCGAGTTGAAAATCACAGTGTGCAGCGATGTGCAGCGCATTGCAGCGCCTGCACAGGGGGATCACAACCTCAAGCTCGCCTACCGGCACGGACACACGGTGCAGCGTGTGCACGACGCCTTTGAGAAGTCTCCATTGCCTGGCAGCGAGGGTCCCTCCACACCGACAGCGACGTGACAATGCCTTCCGGCTGAAGTCGCAGTTTGTATCTGCAAGCTTCCGATGCTCTAAAGGGCCTTGAAAGGGCCTAAAGGGAAGTACGCGTGCAGGTCAACATTGGCGGAGACTGGGAGGGCGGTGGACTCAAATTCTTCGAGGATGACTCGGAGGAGCCTTCCTTCGTCTTGCCGCAAGCAAAAGGCCAGGCGTTCCTACACAAAGGAAAGATTCGACACCAGGCAGGGGAATTGGTGAAATTTGCAGCGGAGCCGCCTGTTGCCGTTGGCACTCGTTCAGGCTGGGCTGCTGACTGCAGGCTATCGCTTTAATTTGGTGATCTGGTGCGACATCGTGCACAGTTCGCGCACCTAGATCCGAAAAACATGGCCGTCGGGCCGCGCTCGGAGGGCTTTTCTTGTGGGTGCTTTGTACAGTTGCCGTCCATGAACAGATGGTTGGCAGGGGTCTCGCCGAATCACTCAGGCACAGGAGCTTCAGGCATTGCGAGCCACAGAAAACTTCAGGAGGCCTTGCGAGTCACAGTAGAACCTTTGCTTCAAAGGGGAGCCAGTCGCGGGACTCTTCACAAATTTGCTCAGAAACGTGCCGAGACCGAGCCGAGACTAGCCGTGTGCTTACTTCAGTTCACGACATGATGGCTATGCACTTCGATTTCCCGATAAGCAGACCGACAGATCCGAAGCTTTGCCATGGACATGGGCACAACTGCTTAGTTCACTAAGCACGGAGGGTCGTCTGGATGTGGCTGCTCGTCTTCGCTCCGGTCTGTGTCTTGGCGCTTTCTGTTCCTCCCGCCAGCCCAAAGCAGGCCGGACCAATGCAGACCTATTTGTTGCTTCGTTCTGTGTTAAAGCGTGACAGCAACTTGACATTGATAGGTCGAACTTCGCACACCCACGTCGAGAGTCGGATGGTCAACAGCTCCCGAGATCACGAGGACTGGATGTTAAAGCATGTGGCGACAGGGGCTCATTGCACGTGCAGTATGGGGGGGGGAACAACATCCTGAATCCGCATGTCAGCTCGCGGCAACGGAAGTTAGCAGCCAGGCGCCTGTGGACCTCTTTCGCCACACTGGGCTCCGCATTGGGGCTGCCTATCACTTCGCCGAAGACGGAAGCTGCCGAATCCTCGCCAATCAGGTCCGAGACAGTCGAGGTGCCGGGTGCGAACGAATTCTCTCCGTGGAATAAGCCACGCAACTACAGAGCATGCACGCTTACGAACGGGCTGCGAGTCCTTCTGGTGTCTGACATGGAGACGAGCAAGATCGAGGCCGCCTTCACTGCTGGTTTCGGGCAGTTCGATGATCCGCTTGAAACCTCTGGCGTGGCCCATCTCACGGAGCATCTGCTGCTCTCGAGCCCGGGTCCAAACGGAGCCGAGCCACTGGAGACATGGCTGGAAGAGCCGTCGCGCGATGGAGATTCCAACGGTTTCACTGCCTTTGACAATGCATTGTTCACAGTCTCGTCAAACATAAACGAGTGGCAGTCTGCGCTTGCCCGCTTCGCCCATTGCTTCAGGCGGGCACTGCCCGATGATCCTCGCTTCCAGGCTAGTGCTGTGCAGCGTGAAGTGCTCAGAGTCGATGATGAGTTGAACGGCCGGCCATCCGCAGCAGTGCGGAACTTGCAACTCCTTCGCCGCCGAGCAGTCTCTGGTCATCCTTTCCGACGTTTTGGGCCAGGCAGCTTGAAAACCTTGCTCCCGAGAGGTCAAAAACGGCAGGACTTGGCCGAGCTGGGCACAGTCTCTTGGTCAATGTTAGGGGATCCTCCCTTGGGTTGCCTAGTTTATTCCAAAAGGAGCCCAGAAAGGATCCTTGCTTTTCCAGTCTAACGGGGCCGAGGTTTGCCAAGCATTCTTTGAAAGGCACGTCTGCGCTGAAACATCCACCCTTGCCGTGGTTGCAGCTGTACCTTTGGATGAACTGGAAGAGGCCGTGGCTTTTGCCTTTCAGGACGTACAGACCAAGGTCAAGAGCTTCAATCGCATTGCGGTGCCCGATCCCCTGCCGGAAATTTCTGAGATTCCCCCCTGCTTCGTCGTGGATGTGAGTTCGAACCCAGCAGTCAGCATCACCTGGAGTATCCCTTTCGCGGACGCCTCGGTCTCGGCCGCGTCTTTCCGTGCCTCGAAGCCTCAGGTCGTCTTGTCACATCTCGTTGCTCACCAGGGACCGGGATCCCTCTCAGCCTGGTTGAGAGAGAAGGGCTGGGTCTCTGCGAATTTGGGCCCGAAAGTTTCCGCCCAAACGGTCTTCATCACAGAATCTGGGTTTGCGCTGTGGGAGATCAAGGTCCGACTTTCCCCCAGAGGCCTCGCTCAGTGGCGCCAGGTGGTCGTCGCAGTCTTCGGCCTTTTGGCAGCGCTGCGCCACAGCCAGAGGAGAAGTGGCGAAAGAGACGTCTTGCGTGAGGCGGCAGACGAGGTCTCTGCCCTAGCCGACGTTGCCTGGCGCTTTCCTCCGCGTCCGCCGCTCGCCCGGGAACTCGCGTTGGACATGAGGTCTGCGCCACGCCCGGCGGCCTACGTCTCTGCATCTCGACGGATCTTCTCCGCCACGGAGTGGGGTCCCAGTGCAGGCGCTTGGAGAAACCCAGACCAGGCGGAGAAGGCTGCTCGCTTCACCACTCCACTTGCTCGAGAGGCTTCGTCAGAAGAGGCGAGGAGGATTCTCGATCGCCTTCTCCCTCAGCTCGGGCGAATAACCGTTTTCAGCACTACTCCGCAAGCGATCACAGCCATGCAAGATCCGGACCTTGGACTGGACTACGGCGAGCTTCGTGTATCCAACGCAGACCAGAAGGAGTGGATTCTGGCTTCCGGAACTCCGCCTGACTGGTGGCAGATGCCCGCAAGCAATCAGTACCTTTCCAAAGCCGAGAAGATTCAAAGGTCTTCGTTGCTGGCACCTGGGAAGGCTGCAATGGGCAAGCCAAACAAGAAAGTAAATGGAGTTTACTGGTCTGACAGCTGCCGTCCAACTCAAATTCCGATGCCGGTCTCCCAAGTGACTCCCAAATTTGTGTGGGACGTTCCCGGCTGCATCTATGTGTCTGGCCAGTTCAACGAACTGGTGGTTCCTCTGGGCGAAGAGCCCCTAGTGACATTGACTCTCTGGTTGCCTGCTGCTCGTGTCGCGGAAGCATCACTGCAGCAGCGCGCTGCTGGGCGTGTCTGGCTAAAGTCTTTGCAGTGCGAATTCGAAAGTCCCTTCTACGGCGCTGCACTGGCCGGCTGCCGCTGGGAGGTAGCATTCTTCACCACTGGTTCCGAGCCCTCAGAAGCAGGCATGCGGCTTTGCTTCCAAGGATATTGTGACAACATCGTGACCTTCGTGCCTGATGCCGTTCGTGCCATTGCGGGACATGTGGGCCCTTCGTCTGAAAACTTGGAGTCGTTGCGAAGCCTTGCCATCGCAGAAGTTCCCGCACGTGGTGCAGAGATGAACAAGCTGGTTGCCTGCCTCAAGAGTTTGGAGATCTCGGACATTCGCGGCGAGGTTGAGGCCTTGTGGACGAGTGTTTCGCGTTCGTTTGGATCCTCGCAGGCTCTAGTGGCTGGTGCCCTGGATAAAGAACAAGCCAGCAAACTGGTTAGGGATGCGATCGAGCTTCTTCCACTCCATGTCGACGGCCCTAGCAATCCTGCATTGCGCACTTCAGATCCGTTGCCACCAGCCGTGCTGACACGTCGGCCCTCTTGGCAAGGACAGATCCGAGCGATTCGTTCACGGGCGCAGCGATACACTCTTTACTGTGGCGTTGTATTGCTATGTATTGCTAAGCGCATTACAGCTTCATAGGCACGTTCGAAGCACCTGGGAGGGTAAATGATGACTTTGGCGGCAGAAGCGCGGCAAAGCCGAGTTGGGCGTGTTTCATGGTGAACTTTCCGCTCAACAAATCTGCAACCCTGAAACTCACGCTCTACTCCAACATTTGCTCGACATGCACACCCAGCAAAACAGTCTGTCCCAGATCCGGTCATAGTCTGTCTGTGCCGACATCCGGCAATTTGACCCAGTGTCACAACCAGCAGGCGAGAGACTTCCGGTCGAAAGGCTGCAACAAGAACCGAAGAGCAGGGCCCTTTCAGGTGCAGCTTCGTATGTCGACGAACTGCTACCATGTTGCTATTTCGCCTAGAAACTGAATAAGGGAAAAGGGCTGAGACAAACTAAACGCAGCATTGTCTTCGCCAGGACCAGTCGCTCAAAGCTTGTGCTTGGCGTCGGGGCTACCGGAGCTGCTGGATGTGTGTGGGCGCACTTGGCGATGATCTTGCTGAAGGGCTAACATGTCTTTGCTTGCTTGTCACTATTCAAGTCTTGCGGAGTTTGATGGGATGCTTCATTCTTCGGGGTCATGCAGATGGAGGTCTCAAGGCTGTGCTGCAGCATGGAGGTAGCTGAATCTGATGGAGTTCTGGAAGCTTCGCCCCGCAGCCGGATGCGACAATGCCTCGCTTGTCTTCACGCTTCACTGCGGGCTCGGATCGGCACTGCAAGCTCTATGCGACTTGCTGATCTGCACAGCTCATCCTGGCCGTCATCTTGCCCCGATCGTCGCGTGATGCTAATGCACCACTCAAGATCCAGAAGGAGCGCGTGCATGCAGGTCTATCGGCTGGGAGTGGGCTTAGCAGCCACTGCCAGTAGGGGTGCTCGCCGCGAAGAATCGTGCGCCCCACATAAAAACAAATTTTCTCTTGGGGCCATGGTGCAGGGAGGTACTTGTTGGCTACTGGCTACTGGTAATTGCGAGCCTTTCATCTCACGAACGGCTGCATGAGCTTGCGATGTCGTTCTGTTAGCTCCGAAGAGATCAAGGCTTCCAGTTAGTCCCGTTGCCGACATGGCCACGTGGGAAGAGTTGGAGCGCCGAGTGGCTGCTCTGGAAAGGAAGCGGGGCAAGGCCCGTGACCTGGGCTTTCGGGATGTTTTCATTCTGTGCCCAAAGAACTAGTCTAAACAGGCCAAGGCATTGCAGAGCTACGTGCAGAAAAGGGCCAGACCTGCCTGCTGTGCACAGTTTGAAGACCTGGCTCGTTGGAAGCTGCAGGTGGACGAAGTGAAAGACTCTGCTGCGGACTTAGCGCTGTAAGCCCTGTTGCTGAAAGAGTTCCTGATTCCGCATTGCAGCAGTGGTCCGGCCGATGCAGCATGGTTTTCACCAGTTGCATGGTATCCGTACACACCCTGTGGTTGGCTGCCGTGGTGCTGCGAGCAGCCGATTGTGGAGGATGACGCAAACGAAATTAAAGTGTCCGAGCCTGAGACTTTCGACTGACTCCTGTGCAATTGGCAATCCGTTCGCTTTTCAGGCCATCCCGATACTCTTGCTGAGCCGTCTGGGGCCCAAGATGCTCCCATGATGCGTTTCGTGGGTAACTCCAGAAGGTTCGACATGCAATTGAATTTTTGCTCAAGCACCTTCCACCCCCTTGTGCCTCCGTTGTGCCACCCCCAGTGCCATGGCTACGCAGTACGAGCTCCTGCTCCAGGACTCCGAGCGTTGCGCGGCGCTGCGGACTTATGATCCTCCGAGATCGTATGCAGGCGGGGCTCCCTCGGTGCTCTCATGGGTCGTCAGTGTTTTCTATACCGAACTCTTCTTTGCATGTATGCACTTGTGTGTCCATGGCCTTAGTCTTGACTCATTTACATATCATTTACATGCTCTGGTCGCAACTTGTTAGTGCATGAAGCCGTGTTGCACCAGACTTCAATTCAAGAACATGCTGTTTCTGCAGACATTCAAAGCCCAGCATTAGCACGGACTTTACTGCGTGGATCCACATCAACTGCCGCAAGCCACACCGGGCGATGTTTACCACAAAATGCAGGCGCATCGGCTGAAGTGGTGCGACTTCGCACCTGAAGAAGTGGCGGAGGGGGAGGGGTCCAATGATGGTGCAGTGCGGAGTGTAGGTGTGTATGTGTATGTGTGTGTATGTGTGTATGTATATCAGCATGTATGTATGTATGTATATGTATGTATGTATGTATGTATATATGTATATATGCATGGATGTTTATATGTAAATGGGTATACATATATATATATATATGCGTATATGTATATATGTATTTATGTACATATGTAGATATGTAGATATGTATATATGTATAATATATATGTATATATGCATATCTGTATATCTGTATATCTGTATATCTGTATATCTGTATATGCATATGTATACGTATATGTATACGTATATAAACATGTACATGTTCATGTATATGTATAGGTATAGGTATAGGTATCGGAATAGGTATAGGTATAGGCATATGTATATGCATATGTATATGTATATGTATGTACAGAAGCTGACAGGTGCATGCATGGATGGATAGACAGATAGATACAGATTCGCAGCCATGTCAGCCTGTCAGTCACTACTACAAGCCACATTCGCCACGGTTTCAGAGGTGTCAGGTCAATTTTATGTCCTGCCATAGACGGGGTTCAGGTCTGCTTCAGTTTCAATTCGAGCAATATGCAGTAGCACAGTGAGTGCTGTTGATTCTAGGTGGACCGGGACCTTACATCGACCTGGAGAGCCGTAAGACATCGTCGTTATCCATGTTGTTGATTTACATCAGGCTCCTGTGGATCTCCAAGAGGCAGATGCTCTTGCTTCAGACTGCCGAGGTGATGTTGCATGCATGCACGGATCGGGTTTGTTGTGGAATTCAGAGGGTTATGCCCTAGTTGAGTGCATCAAATCCGAAGGGACATAAGCTTTACCCCAGACTAGATCCGATTGGCACTTGGTGGTGTCATGGCCCCTTTCGACCCGCCCGGGCCATGCGAGCCGTCAAGTGAGCTCTTCCGCGGAGCAGCCAGGCTCTGATAGTTACAGAGACACCTCTCGAAAGAGAATCAGCCTACAGCTGCCTACAATGCCAAAACAGCAGCGGTGTATATGTATATGTAGTTCTTGTTACTGTATTTGCTCATTCACAGAGGAGCTCCCTGGCAGGCGCGTTCCCTGCTGCCCCGGCGATCATCGCAGGAGCCATGCTTCCTGTGCAGGATAGCTGCCCAACAGTGTTGTCCAGTCTTCCCATGGCTCGGCCAATATGGCACCGTCGGTCAAACAAGCACTAGAAATAGTGTTGTGGATGCTGAGCTGGTTCCCATAGCGGCAAGAGACGTGGCAAATTGGTGAGCTCAGGAGCCTAGACGTCTCCAACCACAAAACAAATGGCAGAATCCTATCCGTCCTATCCCCCAAACTCGCTAAAGCCTGAAAGCAAATCGCAGGCACGGAACTTCCTGCTCACCTCTCGCGTGCCTGTGGTTGCAACAGGGCTAAAAGCATAGGCTCAGGGCTCGGGTGGATTGTGGCGTCTGATGCCGCGGTCTACAAATGCGTTCCCGTTCTTATGTCCAGTCCTGTCGGGCAGGTTTTCGTGTTCTTCGGTGATAAGTGATAAGCCTGGCTGCTTCACATGTTTTTTTTGATTGAGCCTGCCACGGTTGCTCTACTGTGCGTTGAGGGTCGTAACATGTGACTGCGGCTACCTGATTTGGGACTTAGAAGTGTGGAAGGGACAGATTCAATAATTCCCGTTCTTCGGATTGTTGTTGTGCTCTTCACATTGCCTCGCTCACTCTCCTCGGCCCTCGGCAGTAAAACAGCAGAATAGAAACATGTAGAAACATCAGTTGTGAAAAACGAACATTCGTATCTCCAGTCCATTTGCCAAATGTGGACGAACGTTACGCATGACTTCGCTGCAGGGCAAGGGAGGATAGCGGATAGCTCCTTGACAAGGGTCGTTATAGCATATTCCGGCCCCTGAAAGCATCCCCAGCCGCCGTTATTTAGACCCTGCAGGGTTGAAGTGATGAAGCCGCAAAGGATATAGCGGTTCCAGAATTTCGCAATCTTTGCGCGACTTCCGACGTTTTCTGATCTGAAATTTCCACGCCCATGACTCATGACCCAACCTAACAGGGTTATACGACTGTGCTCCCAAACAACAGTAGATGCCACATCGCGTGAAGAGTTTCGCAGACGCGAACAGGCCCCACAGGTCAGGTAGAACAAGCTTGCTGCAGAGGCTCCTATCGAAACCACGGTGATGGAGGCCTGCTCAAGGGAAAAGTGCACCTTACTGAAAGTAAGAGGCTTTTTGTAGGATGGATGCAAGAGGGACTTGCGGAAGACCGTGAACCAGTTCTTGGTGTGGCCGACAGGCGTGGTGCCAGACCTCGCCAGAGGCGCCAGTGGTTAGAGGGAGATGACTGGAGTTTGCATGTCGGTACAAGTTCTAGTGTGACCCTGAACAGCATAAGCCATCATTGTTTTCGGAAACCTTCCCCAAGATTCATCTATGATTCTATGCACCATATCTTTCTTTTCGTCAGGAGTCTGGTGGATGGGTCCGACGATCATGACGGTGAGGGCGAAGTGGTCGTAACACATCCCAGCAACAATGTCCGGACGCTGCATCGCCTGAAGCGTCTCTGATTAAGATTCCAATGCCGTGCTGCAGGAGGCTTTTCGACCTCAGCTGGTCGAGGCCTGTTCGAGGGAAAAGTCACGCCATTTGAGCTAACGTGGAAACGAAGTAAGTACGAGGATTTTTGTAAGATGGCTGCAAGACAGACATGCGGAAGTTCTTGCCAGACAGAGGACACACCAGAAGCGCCAGTGGTTGGAGGGAGATGTTTGGAGTCTGCATGTCGGTACAAGTTCTAGTGTGACCGTGAACAGCATATGCCATCATGGTTTTCCGGAAAACTTCTCCAAAATCGATCGTGCATCCTGGAAGGGTGGTGCTCTGCTGGAAGAACCAAAGCATCAAACACGCGGTAATCAGCACATGTTGCGGATGTGACTCGCAGGACCGCATCCGGGCCTTGGAGGAGGGCACTGGAAATACTGAAGCGAATTGTTGCCGTGTGTTTGACCTTTCACGCTTCTTTGCGGTGTCTTAGGATTTGACGGTTTAAGGTTTTAAGCTTTAGGACTTGGGGTATAGGGCCTGCAGAGCTTAAGATTTTGGGTGCAGACTGCTCCAATTTGATTGTCGGTCAGAAGCCTTTCGAGTGTGGGAAGCCATTGTACAAAGCTGCTTCTTTGCCACCCTCTGCAGGTGAGCTGTTTGCATTGCTGCGGCCCGGTCACAAAGTCGAGAAAGTCGTATTTCGTCTTATACATCGAAGCAAAGCAAGAAGGAGGCTGAAACTCCGAAATTCAACAAGGCGCACTTCGACCGTGCAATGCAAGGCCAACAATGGCAAGTTTCGAGTGAGACGATCCCGAGTGCCTTGAAAGTCTTGACAGCCCATCTACATCCGATGTCAGTCGACGGCTTGCGTGGCTCGCATACACGGCTCGACTGGCGGCATGTCGGAAGAGGGCACAAGGGGAAGGAGATCGAACTTACCCGTCGGATTTCCTCCTTCGGACGAGGCCCGGGATGTCCTGCAAGGTTTTTCAAACATCATCACCATCACGTGGGATTTAAGGTTTCGGGTCATCGTTATCGGCATCAAGAGCTCACGCGCTATGTAAGTTTGCCCACCAGGCTTAGGCCGAAAACGTGCGCATCACGGTCCTTGAGAGATTAGCACGTTTTTGCGGAACGCGATCGGTGCAAAAAGGTCGAGCTTGCGTGTAGCCATCAGTATGGTTCGGTTTGATCGCATTTATCCGCAACCGTTGAAGCTGCGCACGATCGGTGTGCTTGCTCTACAGGAGGGTTATCGGACGTTGTTTGTATGGACTGGGGTTGAGGTTGCGACGGGCCGCCCCGATCTCGGGGCGCCCCCGCGATGTTGTGTCTGAAAGCTACAGAACTCCGAGAGACGGGACTTGACTTGTGCTGTAAAGCCCAGTGCTGCAAAGCCGTCCGACAAGGCCACCGCGGCGGCAATTCGTGACTTGCCCTGCGAGAGCTCGTTGCAGGGCGACCTGAAGGCCCGAAATGTCGGCCAGCAGCTCTGGATGAGATAACGGTCAACTCCACTCCCACTTTGACTCCACGGCGCCTGCATGTTGCAGGATGCACTTGTGAAGTTGATGGCGTTTCCTGACTTCAGCGACGGCATCAGGGTCTCACTGCTTCACAGCAGCTGTGCATGTAGAACAAGAGCGAAGAAGGGTATCTTCCAGCATATGATTAAATAGACGATGAGGTCCATGTCCCTGCTTCGGCTCCGACCCCGTACCCGAACCCCCGATGGGAGGAACGAGTCAAACATTGGCTTGGGGCCTCCACCTCACGGGCGGTTTTTGTCTGTGCCCGCAGTAGCGCCCCCCTGGCAGCGCACCTTGCGAAGCGCGTGCTCTGAAACAAGACGCTCGAAACAGAGGAGCTTTCACAGCTAGAGGGTCAGCCAAGCTTAACTTAGATCTCTGGACGAGACACCTTCACTCTGTGCCAGCATTGGCTTGAAGTTCAGCCTGATTCAAATCGTCTTCCAAGCACCAATGCCGCAGCGTTTTTCATCTGGAGACCTGCGCTAGCTCCGGTGCTGGTGGACGGCTCGCCCCATGTTCGGCGACATCCATCAAGTCCGGCACATTCTGATCTTATCCCAAGCCCGCAGCTCTAGTCTGAATACATGCGCATCTGTAACGCATTCCTAATTCAGGAACAACTGTATGCAATTTGAGCATGCGCGGATCTGCAGAGCAAAAACTTCAGCCGCCGAGTCATACTGGACAGTCGCCGGGGGTGGTACGAGCCTCCCGCTCGATGGCCCTTGCGCTCCATGGAGCGCGATGCGAGGATCGAGCCAATTGATCAGCAACTTGCCTGACAAGAGACAACGACTCAGGAACTTGAGCAGCAGTTCGTGGTTCGTGCGCAAGCATTGTTACAGCTGATCTCACCGCCAGTACCAAGAATCAGAATCATGAAGCTCTGCAGCCCTGCACCGAGGCAATGTACCACGATCATCTTCAGAGGTATGAACAGGCGCACCGGGTCTCACGATGTGTTTCGCGTTGGAGGGAGCAGGGCTTTAGTGGAGCCCGGATTGTGCGTTCAGCTGTCGGTGGCTGCACCCTGGGCATGAACGCTTGGTCTTCCCCTGTGGCTTCAGGCAAGTCACAAGAGAGATGATGATCACGTTGTTGTTCCCTCTCTGAAATACGTGGGGTCCTCCCTTGAGACTTGCGAGCTTGGAGTCGTGTTGGATTAACCGGAAAGTCATCCGGGCGAAGCGAAGGGCAAAGCAGAGAGGCCACTGGCGGCTTTGTGCTTTTGGAGGTTTCTGGCATTTTCCGGGCACCTTTCTGGTTCCGCTGTGTCCGCTCCCCACCATCACTGAGCGACCGAGGAATGAAACTGCGCCTTCTTCCTGGCCAACTCCCAGGCACAGGGGTTTGGTGTGCAGGTGTTTTGGAGCATCTTGTGCGCAGTGGGTTCGAGCCTCACCATATTGGCATGGAGTCTTGAGCTTCGTTTCTTGTTAGTAGCGCTCTAGAACAAGCTGCTCGTCGTCGACCAACCGAGAGTCATACAGCACGTGCGCTCATTTCATGAATTCATGCTTGGCTCTGATTGCTAGGTGCCCAAAGGGCCCAATAACACCAATAACAGAGTCACGTTGTTTCGTGTTGTTTCCGTCAGAGGTACAACTACGTTTACGTCCCGTGGACCACCGACGGGGCTTCCAACATCGGCCTGGGGTCCCCCAGATGCAGTGGTCATGGGTGGGGTGCAGTGGGGTGCATAGTGAAGCTAAGTTTAGGTGGTGGAGGGTGGAGCTTGTGTATACAGGTTTGAGTGCCCTGGATCAAGCTCGCCTCGCTGAGTGAGACACGTCCCATCGTGACCCTTGATCAGGATGTTCAGAAGCCAACCCTAGTAGCTTAAGCTGTTTGCGCTTATGGAGCCCAGGTTTGCAAATTTTGAGACTCCAGCGGCATGCCAGGCAGGGCTTGCATCTCAAAGTGAGCGGGTGTCACATACGGTTGTGGGTGGAGCGACTGCTTGGGAGTTTCGAGCAGTTGGAGTAGACGACCGTAGCTGGTAGCCCGGTGCGCGAGGAAAGGAGGTCGTGACACGACACTATTGTCCGCCCCGGCCGTCAGGCTGTCGAATAAAATCATGAGGCACATGCATCAACGAGGAACCAGCTGGAAATTTCGGGCTCAGTCAACGTTGCAGCGTTGTGTTTCACATGTGTACGCACTTCCGGCGCTGGATTTTCCTATTCTCGGGGGGCAAGTTGCGGACATGGATGCTCCGGTAGACGCGAAGAGTCAAAACAGTGGCATGCGCGATGTTTTTTTGATGTGAACTCTGTGCCATACCTATGTCCCGGGTTTGTGTGTGGTGGGAAGAGCGTGAACACTGTGCCAAGAACGAGTCTTTGGACATGTGAACCACACGAAACACTGCACAGCAAGCACGATGTCGCTGGGGGACTGTCTGGCGCGTGTGAAGCCGTTGGAGCCTGAAACACGCTTTTGATTTTTGTGTATCGATCCTGTATCTTTCTCTCGCCTAGCGGGCCCCGAAGAGAAGTTCAATGGCATTGGTCCGCAAGCGAAAACCCAAGTCTAGCACGGGCCTCGGAAGAAGTGTCGGATCAGGATGCCACATGCAAACGGAACCCAAAGGAAAGGAACCAAAACAATTCACATGAAGGGGGGGCATATCTCGGCCCTTTGGCAGGAGTACATGGCAGCCGTTACTCGGCGCCTTGCCTTGGCGAAGCTTGCGGAGTGCCACGTTAGATCTATCGGGCGCGCAGCGATCCAGGGACGTGGTGCAGACCTCAGCCATCGCCTTGGGCTCTCTGGGTAACGGCTGCGGATTTCGGCTTTGAATTGTTTTATTTGTAGCTTCCTGTCTGATTCGTTGAGCTGACAACCCACTTACTCGTACAAGTTAAAGCTCCAGCATTCTCACCACGAAGCCTCGAGTAAACAGCTTCTATCGGTTCGTTCTCGAGGATTAGCTTCCGGTCAAGCCATGCTGCAAGCTTCACTCATTCTCCTCGCTGAGGTGCGAATCTGTCTGCCGTCATCACGAAGCGTGGCTCGGAGGCGCTCTGAACTTGTCGAACTCTTTCCGGTCCATGAGGCTAAAGAAATTGGCGCACAACTCGACGGCAATTCAGGGTGTGATGGTTGGGTTCTGATCGTTGGGACTCCTGTCGGGAAAGGTCCAGGTCTCGATGCCGAAGTGCTGCTACGTATAGAAGCTGGGGAAGTGCCGAACGCAAAGTAGGACATCGATACATCGTCCATTGGTCCCAGACGATTTCTCTTGATTAGCCTGTCAGTCGTTTCTGGTGATTCAGCTGAGACTCTGAGCGCAGGCCCTGACGGGTTTTGATGCCCCGGTCGTCTTCCTTGGTGGACGTCGCGATTCGATTCGTGCAGTTGTGGAGAGCGAGGTTGCAGGACCATGGGCAGAAAGGCAGAAACTCCTTGGGCCTGAGGCTTGGTAAGCTACATAAACTCCTAAACTAGCCAATTCATGGGGAGCAGTTCTCTCTTTCACCTCTCTCTCTCTCTGTCTCTCTCTCTCTCTCTCTCTGATTTTCTTTATCTGTTTCTCTCTTTCTCTTGCTCTTCCTCTTCCTCTTTCGGTTTTATCTTTCTCCCTCTCTCTCTCTATCTCTTGTGTGATTTTCTTGGTCTGTTGTTCTCTTTCTCTTGGTCTGTCCTTGGCTCTCTTTCTGTATTTTTTATTTTTCGTTCTCTCTCCCTATCTCTCCCTATCTCTCCATCTCTCTCCCTCCTTCCCCCTGCCTCCTGTCCCCGGCAGCTGTTCAACTCAACCACCAAGTATCTCACGACTGACCTGGCCAACCAAGTAACCAGCGAACGAAGAGGCGAGCGAAGGAACGAACGACACATTTAAGGAACGAAGGAAGGAAGGACGGAAGGAAGCAAAGAAGGAGCGAAGGAAGGAGCGAACGGAGGAAGGAACGAACGGAGGAGCAAACGAAGGAATGAAGGATCGACGGAACATAAGAACGGCCGTGACGACTTTGAGTGCGCGAGTTGTTCGGGTGTCCGAAAAAATGAAACTGTGCATGCATTCAGCACCCATGCAACGTGTCCTGGTCAAGTCATTTCAGACACAGACTGTGCTAAACAAGGCAGGGGCTTTCCGTGCAGTCGGGACCAGAACATTGCCCCCAAAGTCATTAGGCAAGTGGCACTGTGGATGGCCGAATGCCTGTTGTGGTCCAGAAACTCTGTGAAGCCAACCGCGGCGCTGAACGGAGGACACCTGGCAGCCCTCGCACTTTCAGCCTTACCTCGAGAAAGAGTGGCGCACTCGGGAAGTTGCGCTTGAAGCGTTTGGGCCCACCTATCCGTGTAGGTGCGGGAGACGGGAACAAGATACTCCTCTTGCACTCTTCGGAATGGTATTGGATGGGAACGACAGCATTGAGTGTATCTAGCAAGAAACGGCTGGCAGCAGTGGCTGCACTTGGGTGAGCAAAGAGCAGGGTTCGATCGTGTATCGCCAAGGTGGACTGGGTGCAGCCTCCTTCCTCTAGCTCGCGCGGTGTCGCAGGCAGAGCAGATTGGCATGTTGGCTCCAGGGGCAATGCGGGCTCCGATTCCGACAGTGGTGCTGGCTTGCACTTCTTGCTACTCTTATGGATGGTTCGTACAGGGTTGTGGACTCTCCAAGTCTCCAGCACTCTGCTTCAATTGGAACCGGGACAGATCTGGTTCCCAGAAAAGGATGGGGCATTGGAGGCTTTGAGGCCCCAGAACTCACCACTGACGGGCTTCCTGCGCCGGTTTTGAAAGGAGCTCTGGGCAGTCATGGTCCGGATCGGACGCAGTACTCCTTGCAGACCTCGACAGAAGCAGGGCTTTTGACGCCACCTGGCCAGGATGTAGAAGTGGTTCAGGGGCTGCGTGACTTGCGCCGGATGTTGGAGCATGCGGGAGCATGCAAGACAAACCCAGATAAACTAGACGACAGTGGAGGAAGCATAGGAGGCCTGTGAGCTTTTCCAGGTGCTATGCGCTTTGGCAAACGGACTGGGTGGTCACTGCTTTTGACTGTGAAATACTCGCCACCATGTAAACACCATCTGATCAGGGAAAGGATGACGATGATGATCTAGGTGTACGGCGGTCGGCAGCTGAACCATTTCCAAACCCATCGGCATGGCAAGCACCAACGTCAGACAAGGATCCCACCACCGGCCACGATGTATGTGCCGGGCAAAGGTAGCTGCCACAGTATGCCTCAGGACCGTGCATGTTCATGCAGACCTTGGGTTTATCGCAGATCTCAGTGCAAGCCCTGCAAATCACTCATCAGCCATCTGCGAGAATCACAAATGAGCGAACTCGCAAGTCCGTATGTTGTATGCAAGAAGACTTTAATGCTTGCGATTCAAGCAGAGACAGGAATATGAGATGGGAGTTGCACCAGCGGCGGCTGCAGTAAGGCGTGGCATGACTCTCTCGGGTTTGTTCTTCAGGGCGAAGACCTGATTTCGCTGAGTTCAGGAGCTCAAATTCAAAGGAGCGGGAAGGGGGTTGAATAATGCTAGTCGCAAATCGCTATACATGCCTTGAAGCAGGCCATTATCGGCTGCTACAGCTCGACCAGTAGCAAAAGTGCCGGTGCTGAAACACTCCTGCACCAGAAGTCGCTGCCAGGCAGCCAAGCCAAACCCCTTTTCAGCCAAGAGTTCGGGCGACTTGGACTTCCACTCTTCAACTTTGATAGTACAAGGAGGCAGTGAGTTTGAACGGAAAGGTTTTTGCTGTCCTACTGAGTTCGTCTCTGCTTCAGGCGAAAGCCTTCCGGGCCTTGTGCACGGCATTTCTTGAAAACTGGTTCTTCATGAACTTGTGGCGGCTGTCCTTGATTTTCTATCACTTGTGCAAGACATAAGTCCCTGCCCTTTGTACACACCGGAGACGCGAGTACCGAAGCCCTTAGCCTGCGGGCTCCAAAGACTTGTTTCACCGCATAAGAGCCATATTCTTCCTTTTGCTGGTCGCCGGCTGCGGAGGCTGCACTTTCGGGTGCCCACCGCCAATCCTTGCTGTAAGTCCCCTTGACGGGGCGTGCCCGCACTTGGGTGGAGGTTTTTCAAGGGCAGAGTGGCCCAGTCAGTGCCTGCGATTGAGGAGGCCGCTGGGTCAGTGCGTGAGGTGGTTTTCTTGGTGTGGTGCAAGCGGTGGAGCAAGTGGAGAGGAGAACTGGAGTTTTCTGGCGGCAGCTCGGCTTGGCAGGTTTTAACTTGCAGCCGCGCAAGCTGCTAGAAGGATGGACGGCCAGCCTTCCAATGGCCAGCAGGCGGGGCCTCAGCAAGGGGCCATGCCGCAGCAAGCTGCTGTTCAGGGCCTTGGGGCCGATGACATTGACAGAATGGTGAGGCAGAGGCTGGAGCAAGCATTCCACGGTGTGTTCCGGCGCTTGGTGGATACGACCGAGCGAGCGGCCCAAGCTGCAGAGGCAAATGCCACGAGCAACAGGTTTGAGGGAATGGTCCGCTCTATGAAAGTGGATGTGTGGAAGCCCCAGACGCGTGAGGAGGAGCTTCGCACATGGAAGGAATGGGCCTTCCAGTTTGTGAACTGGCTGGTGGCCAACGACAGTGGCTACGAAAAGGACCTCGACGAGCTGGACCTGGATGTGGAAGTGAGCCGCGCCTTGCTGAGCGACGCTGCCGTGGCTCGCTCCCATCGCCTTTTCGGTGTGCTGTGCAACTTGGTGAAGGGCCGGCCGCTGCTTCTTGTGAAGCAGGCCGCTGCTGAGAAGGGCGGCTTGGAAGCCTGGCGCCTCCTGAGGCGTGAGATGGAGCCTCGCGAGAAGGCCCGGTCTTTAGCGTTGGTTCGCCAGTTGGCGGCCTGGCGCTTCGATGACAAGGCCGGGCTCCACGAGCAACTTGTGAAGTACGAAGAAGCCCTGAGAATGTATGAAGTCAGCAGTGGTGGCACCGCCTTCCCCGACGAGCTGGTGTTAGCTACGGTGATCACTGGCTTGAAGGAGCCCCTGAGGTCGCAGATCCAGATGAGAATCCAGCCGAAAACCACTTATGCTGAGGTGCGCTCCTGGATCCTCCAGTACGAAAGCTTGAACGCCCCGTGGAGTGCGACGCTGGGCGGCAAGGGTGGAGATCCAGGAGGGCTTGCGCCGATGGAGATCGACCAGATCAAGGGCAAGAAGGGGAAGTTCGGCAAAGATAAAGGCACGCCGAAAGGCAAGGACGGAAAGGGAAAAGAAGGAAAAGGAAAGGGCGGCAAGACGTGGCAGCACCAAGGCGGCAAAGGTGGTTGGCAGGGCCATGGTGGCTGGCAGCAAGGCTCCCAGCAACAGGGCCAATGGGCAAGCTGGAAGCCACAGAAAGGCGACACCGGCAAGAAGGGTGCCGGCAAGCAGGGCAAGTGCCACACGTGCGGCCAGACCGGCCACTGGAAGTGGGAGTGCCCGATGAAGGGCAAAGGCAAGGGGGTCAACCAGATTGACGCCAGTGCCGCTTCGAGCACCTATGCCCCTTCCGTGGCTCCCTCTTCGGCCTCAGCCACAACGGTGCCTTCTTCAGCTTCCGCCCTCCACCAGCAGAGCAGCAGGGCCAACAATGTGAACATGATCACCATGGGGACGCCGCCAGGCTGCAGAACGACACACGTCTTCGATATGAGCGAGCTCGACCAGGAGCTTGGCGACTTTTCCCTCGAGGCCGGCGACGTGATGACCATTACCGTCCTCGAGCCCTATCCCGAGGAAGTCTTCGATTACATGCTGCCCGGCTACTTGAAGCAAATCGAGGACGGAGACGGAGGCTTCTTTGAGCTCGATTGCCAGGCTGACTATAACAGGTCCCAGGAAGCTTTCGAGTACATGTTGCCCGGCTACTTGGAGCAAATCGAGAACGGAGACGGTGGCCCCCTGAGGTATAGACTAGATGCCACAGATGGAGACGGTGAGTGGACAGTCCCTTGGTACGAGCCCAATACGCGAGAAGAGCTGCCAGTGGCCTGCGTGAGGGCAGTGACGGTTCAGCCCAGCCAAGTGGAGGTCGTGGTGGACTCGGGGGCTGACGTTTCAGTTGCTCCTCTCGCCTTTGCTGGCTGCGGGCAGCCCACCGAGCTGTCTCATGTTACTATGTGCGACGCCCAGGGCCGCCGTATCCCCGAGGTGCAAAGCCGGATCATGGATGTGGAGGTGAAGACGCTAACGGGCGAGGCGGTGAACATCAGGGAGAAGTTCGCCGTGGCCCGCGTGGGGAGTTTCATCATGTCACTGGGCCGGCTGATCAGAGCTGGCTGGCGCCTGGGCCACACCGGGAACGGGCCCACCATAGAGCGTGAGGGGCTGGTCGTGCCAATTCGGCTGCGCAGGAACACCCTCACGATGATGACCATGGTGTCGGTGATCGCCTCCTCGGCGGCGAGCCCCCCTGCAGCTGATGGTGTTCGTGCTGTTGGGGCCTTTGAGGACATGGGCCCTTTGCCGCCGGAGGCCGAGGACGTCATGGGCCAACCGGGCTGGCACATAATGGGGAGCGGCCTTCCGCTGCTCGTGGGCCACAAGGCAACGGAGGTGGCCGTGGAACAGTTTCGGAAACAGATGATTGGGCTTCGCTGGCCGTTTTCGTTCGGCTGGAGCGGAGGACTACCGGGACCAGTTCGGGCTGGCGCTTGTGGGAGGAGAGTCAACGACTGGCTGGGTGATTGCGGTGCCCGTCCTACAAAAGGGCGCCGGCTCCCTCAAGCGCGTCACTGAGCAACTTGTTCGGACCAGCATGCAGGTGACGGCTGCGGGCGAGGTGGCTTTTCAAGGGGACCCGGAGCCAGCGATCAAGCAGATCATCAACAGCGTGGTCGCGTGCAGGGCCAAACTGGCTTTGAAGACCGAGAGCCGCCTGGTACACAGGGGCAGCCACGCCTCAAACGGTCTGGCCGAGAAGAATGTGAACACCGTCCGGACCAACGCCCTGACCCTGAAGGCCCATGTGGAAGAGAGAGCTAAGGTTGTTCTTGAAGGGCACCACCACATATATTCCTGGCTGATGCGGCACGCGGCCTTCCTCTTCAACAGATTCCATGTGGGGGTCCGCGGCGCACCGGCCTACGAGATCATGTTTGGGAAGCGCTTTCGCGCCAACCTTCTCCCCTTCGGCGAGCAATGCATCTTCCATGCACCGTCGCGCCACAAAGGAGACCTACAGTGGCAAAGGGGAACTTGGGTGGGCCTCAACGAGCGGACTGGAGCCCACATTGTCCTGACTCCCGACTGTGCCAAGGAGCCGGAGCATAAGGAGGTTGCCTGCCGAGGACCAGTGGCAAGCCAACCCTATCGTGAACAACAAAGGGCTGCCCTGGGACTATGGCGGGACCAAGCGGAGGAAAAGGCCTCTGTACACTTCGGCACGTGTGCCGCTCCTTCCCGACACTGCTTCCTTGGAGGAATTGGCAAAGGCTGCTGGGACAGCCGCTGCGGAGGCAATTGCGGCTGCTACTCCAAAGCCGCCTGGTGACGAGGCTGGCTCCGACAGCCCAGTGTCTTCCGCGACCTCAAGTTCCGCGCCAACCCCGGCACAAGAAGCCCGAGCAGAACCTGGAAGTGAAGCAAGGCCGGGGTCTAGCGGCGATGGCGCAGGCGGGGCAGCCAGCATGGACACAGCCGAACCCCCACCAGCTTTGACGAGGACCTTGGCAGAGCCGGAGCACAACCCAGTTCCGAAGAGGCCGCGGCTTTTGCTTGACAGGCCGCCAACGACTCCATCACCACTGGTGCGACTCTCCGGCCGACAAGGAGTTCCTGGAGCCGGACACTTCGGCTGATCTTCCGCCCGACAAGGCGGCACTTTACAAAGAAGCCGTCGGCAAGCTCCTCTACCTGAGCCATTCCCGGCCCGACATCCAGTTCAGCGTGTGCATCCTGAGCGGCAAGATGGCAAAGCCAACCCAAACCGCATGGCGATGGGTTCAGAGAGTCGTCGGGTACCTCCTGAGGGTCCCTTCTCTGGGGACGCTCATAAAGCCGCTGGCGGGGAAGGCCTGCTTCAAGCACAACGGCGGCAACCAGCTGAGCGAGGAGACCGATGTGTTTGTCGAGGTGATAACCGACGCCGACTGGGGTGGCTGCAAGCAGACCCGCCGGAGCAGGTCGGCCATCCACCTCTATGTCTCCGGAGGCCTCGTTGGGTCAATGGTGCGCACCCAGCGCTCAGTGGCTTTATCGTCGGGGGAGTCGGAGTTCATCGCCCTTGTGGGCGGCGCCGCTGAGGGCCTGTACCTGGGGGAGATCCTCGAGTTCCTGCTCGGCCCCGCGAGCAACTTCAAGGTGAAGGTCGCGTCGAGAACGGACAGCGCGGCTGCTCGAGGAGTGGCCGGTCGGCTCGGCTGTGGCAGGCACTTGGAGGCGGGGCTCCTTTGGATACAGCAGGAGGTCAAAGCTCAGAAGCTGATGGTCAGGCCCATCAGTGGAAACGAAAACCCGAGCGACCTCGGGACCAAGCCTCTCGGGGGATCACGCATGCGAGCCATGAACACCTACACCGAGGACCTCGAGCCCTACGGGAAGGAGGACTACGACCTCGCCGTTGCCAAGCGGAACATGACGCAAATGATGAAGAACTGCAGGGTGGCAACCAATGGGGCACCGGCCAAGAACTTCAAAACGCTTCTCCCTTTGGTTGTCTTGCTGTGCCAGGCCATGAACGTTGAGGGCTTGAGCTTGGCTGGCACTTGGTGACAGCGATGCAGTCTACGGCTTGGTGGCGGCTGCGGGAATCGGGGTTGTAACGTTGGCTGTCTTCCTGGGCATCCCTCTGGCTGTGCTGAAGTTCTGCAGTTGGCTCTTGGGGACCACGAGGAAGGAGCAATTCCACAGGGAGACACAGACGGACCGGCCTCCCTTGCCAAAGCCAGTTGAGGTCCCGGAGAGGGCCCGCAGAGAGCAGCACGCCAAGGAGATCAGGGCGCACGAGAAGTTCGCCCAGGAGTACGTGGACCGCTGCACAGACCTGGAGCAGCTACTGAGCCAGAGATGCCGTGAGATCAGGGAGATGGAGAACGCAATTGGCGAGCTCCACCGCAAAAACCGCAACCTTAGGGAGCGTGTGCAGACCCTCACACTCGAGAGGCATCCGCCCGAGATTTGTGTGGCGACCTCGAGAGGGGAAAGGTATCATCTCCCAGGGTGCGGAAACATTCGACATTCTAATAGGGTTCAGAGGTTTACTCCTTGTTTGGCGTGCCTGGGATGACAGATGCCAGTGAAGTTTTGAGTTTTCTGCTGAGCACGATGAAGAAAGGAGTCGTGCAAAGCAGAGGCGGGGTGCAAGACATAATTCCCTGCCTTTTGTACACACCGGAGACGCGAGTACCGAAGCCCTTTTGCGCTTGAAAAGAAGTGATTTGAACTTGGGTCGGCAAAGGGAAAAATTTTTAGGGAGTTGGATCTGACACAAGACAGCTTTGCGGGTCCCCAGAAGCACCCCTTGCCTTTGAAATCTTCGAGCAGAAGGCCGACTCCGCTCCACGGACTGGCCTCCACATTCTTGCCCACTCTACTCAACCTTGTTTTCAATTCTGTTGAAGCTATGTGTCGATCGATAGCATTCCCATGTGAGTTGAGACATGCAAGCAGGTAAGGCGATTTCTTGGCCAGGGGTTTTCGTGCAAAGCTTTTTGCGTGTCCCTGTGTGTGTGTGTGCGCGCATGCATATGTATGTGTGTATGTGTGCATGTATGTATGCAGGTAGGTAGGTAGAAAGGCGGGAAGGAATGTAGGTAGGTAGACGGGAAGGTCGGGGCAGGCCTGTTGGTGTGTTATGTTATGTTGTGAAATGGAATCAAAAATGTGATGTAATATAATGTTGCGCAATGCATTACAGCGCAATGTAGTCTGATTATGTATGTATGTACGTACGCAGGTAGGTGGGTATGTATGTATGTATTTATGTATATGCATGCGTATATATGCATGCATGCACATGCATGCAAGTATGCATGTATTTATGTAGGTAGGTGGGTGGATGGGCGGGCAGGCAGACAGGCATAGGTACGGGGGTAGGTGTAGGCAGGCAGGTAGGCAGGTAGGCAGGTAGGCGCGTGAAGCTAGGCAGGTGTAGGTATGCAGGTGTTGGCAGGTAAGTATAAGCAGGCAGGTGTGCGCAGGTTGGTGTAGGTAGGTAGGTGCAGTTAGGTGTAGCCAGGTAGGTGTAGGTAGGGCGCAGGTAGGCAGGTGCAGGTAGGTAGGTGGGTGTGTGGGTGTGTGGGTGCGTGTGCGTCTCTGTGTGTGTGTGTGTGTGTGTACGCGTGTCTGTCTGTCTGTCTGTCTGTCTGTCTGTCTCTCTGTGGGTGTGGGTATTACGTGATGGGTGGGTGGGTCATATAAACTGTGAGTTTTCGGTCCGCTTAAGTTGACTGGACGAAGTGTTTCATGGTTTTTGCCGCCATGTTGCTCGGTCTCTGGAGTCCGCCGTCTCGGATGGAGGGTATACTCGGGCAACAACAGCTCGGAGGAGCTTTCCTAAGGCACCGCCTGTCCTGTGCCAAGCGGCGCGCCATCAGCCGTTGATAAATGTGCCTGCTTAGGTGGAGACCACTTCGACTGCCGGTGCGCAGGCTCTCCGTTTCTACTTTTCTTGGGGCTGAAGGTGTCGAATAGGTTTCTACTGTATATAGCTACAGCCATGCAGTGTCGTGGACATGCCCTTAGCCTTTGCTCGCTTCTGGTTCTTGGGATCACCACGAAACGGTTGTGCCAAACAAGCCAAATCTTTTGCCAACAACTCTTTAGCTGAAGATCGCCAGGCGGTTACTCGCTTCATCTTTGACCTCTGAGAGGTCAAAACCAGAGTCTGGTCCTCAGTCCACTCGCCGGCAGAGCGGTGCATAGCCCAATGAAGCCCTGCGTCAGCGTCAGCTCCACTAAAATTCAGCATGCGCCACTCCTCAGTGCTGTTCTTATGAGTTTGACGTCCTGAAACCCTCATGTCCAGTCTCAGTACCAAGCCATGGGCCATCGTCGCCGATGTTCTTGAGGTACACTGTGCTATGGACGCTTCTCCAGAGTCGAAGCTTTTCTTGGAGAACTGATTTATAATTTGCCGGCAGCTTGTGGTTGGAAGCCCGGCGCTTGAGTCACCGTTATGCCAGTCAAAGCCTGGACGCATGTCTGCCTTGGCTCTGTGCTGGTTCTCAAAGGGGACTGGAGACAGAAGGTTGATAGCCAGATTGCTCTGAGAGAGATGTGCCGGAGTCAGGGCCCTAGGACTCTTTTCGCAGCGTCAAGGTGTCATGTACACTGCAACCTTCAGGGGGTCAGCTGTCAGGAAGATGATGCTTCGACCAATTGGCCAAAATTTGGAGACCTCGCCCACTTCAGGGTTCAAGAATCTCGAGCGTGAGTTAAAGTTCTGCAGATGGCTCTTGGGACACAAAAGTTTAGGGTCAGTACAGCTCCCTCGCCGTTCCAGATTTGAGTACAGTTTGTTGGGACAAAACAGCATGTCAGGAGCTGCAGCCACTTTAACTCCAAAGGCAGGAGGCAAGCACTTTAGAGCGTTGAAGCCTGAAAAGTGTTGTGGCTTAGGATTTACAGACTTTTCAGCGCGTTGAAGGATACTGAAGCTCAAATTCGGGAGAGATCGCTAAGTTCGGGGTGGTGAGGCTGTTTGCTGTCATGTTTTCAAGCGTTTGTTTGCTAGATGCAACCCCTCCTGTTCATCCATCCGAGCTGCTCCTTTCCCATCGGATACATCGTCCTCCGTATTGAGTTCGTTCGTTGTCTCTTCCTCGACCGGATCCGAGTCTGGACATTGACGGGTGTAAAGCGTCGAAGAGACATGCTACCATCAACAGATAACACTAAATCTGCATGTATTGACAACGCTTTGGGTACATCGGGCGGCAAGCCGGACTGTTGTTTCGAGGCGAAGAACCGGGGTGTAGATCTTGGGGTTGTTACAAATTTGGGGTATAGTTTTACTTTACACATGTGTTCGGTATGACATAGTCGTGACTTGTCTGTTTAGACAGCTGAGTCTGGGAGATAATGATGCCAGAAAACGGGAAGCCTCTCTCAGAGCGGCAAGATGTTGCACGTCCGTGTTAAGTCTGTGTGGATCGAGCTGATGGAAGGTGTTTAGCACCTTAGATCTCGGCTCGTTAAGGGGCCTCTGTTGCACCGTGATTTCCATCTACTGGAATCTATGATTAGTGTTCGGATGTCGGGCGGAGGCCCCACGTGCTTCCAGATAATATGCAGTGAGAGGATCTGCAAGCGGCCTGATGATGCCAATAGTCAAGTAATGTCAGAGATTCATGTCCCAGGCCACTGATGTGACACACTGTCTGTGGATCTACTTGCGCTAATTTTTTGGCAGCCAAGACTCTTGCAAGGTCTTCCTCGTTAGTTGTGGCCCAGTCTTTGAACAGAACTTGACGGGCCAGCATCCAGAAGAATCTGTCCATTGCGTTTCAAAAACATGAGATGAAACTCCAGAACATGCTCGAAGCAACTTCAGCCTGCCACGGCAGGCAGCTAAAGAGGAATTCAGAGAAGCAGAATTTGCAGGAAGCATCGTCGGACGTGTGCCAGATTGAAAGTCGAAGCACAGTGCATCACAGCACGAGGTTAAGCGCACGGCGCACCACGTAAGTTGCAGTGAGCTAGAGCAGCTAGAGTGCCGAGCACAACGCATCAGAGCATCAGGTCAAGCAGAGTTTTCCATAGCGACAGGCGAACCACAGTGCGTCAGAGCGTCAAGTCAAGCAGAGTGTTTTTGAGCGTCAGATGAAGCGTTACAGGCACAGACTAGACCTTCCAAAAGTATTTGTTTAGCACATTTGTTGTTTGGCAGCCGGGGACGGTGGCCCTGCTGAATAAGCGCGTTGACTGAAGACTGCTTCTTGCGTGTTAATTGCGCAAGGGTCCAGCAGGGGGTCGTTTTGGAATTCCGAGATGAGCGCACTTTGCATAGAACATTGGCGCATTTTTTGCACTTTGTTAAACATGAGAATATGGGTTTGATAGCAGTCGTATTGCAGTCTAGCTTTGAGTTGCAGAAGGGTTCAGGACAGATGCTGGTATGCTGAGCCATCAACTGCTACTCAAGAAGTTCTGCAACCGCGTATGACCAGTGAGGCTGCTCCATGCAAGACTTGCTTCATGTGATGCACTACGCACACCTCTCACAGTTGTACACAGCCCTCATCCAATAATGCCATTGGCATTCTCTTCGTCTAAACGTGGATGCAGTCCGGTCCGAATGGGACGTCATGTGCAATCAGTTCGGACTGAAATCATCCGAAATCGGTTGCTGCCGTCGAGGGTTTCATCAAACAGCTCATATGTTGTGCTCCAGGGTGGCCTATAGCCTGGACTGACAAAGTGCAAGTGTCGTCTGTTCAACATATGTCGACGGTAGAGAGACCGGAAAGCTATATCCTTCTGGTTAATGCGGATTTGTGGTGCTCGCAAGATTTCCAGGCTTCACACAGGAAACCAGGTCGAAGGTTGTCAAAGGCTGGGTAGCCTTGCAAATTCCTTTTCGGAAGGTTTGCGTGCCTTGAGGCCTGTGAATGCGCTTGCACGACAGATCCCCTGAAGCGTTTCTCCTGTTGTTAGGGTCTGCCATTGCTGATATGCATGTCGCGCCGGCCCCGAATGAAGGTCTGCCAGGAGGCTCTAAAGAAGCAATGACCCTCCCCATGCACTGACCTTCAATTCACGACGTTGCTGTGTGCGTTGCCAGCATGAGTCATCCGGCAAGCCTCCTTCGACTGCTCAGAAGCAGTAATGTCTAGGAGCTTTCAGACGGCAGGACGTCTGCAAGCTGCGAACCACGCTTGCCATAGAAAGGGTCGTAAAGGACACTGCCGCTTATTGCAGTGTGATCTGCTGGAGACGACGTGGCTGTCACTATTGCTGCTGTTTCTTGTGGTGCTTGCTGGCCACGTTAGCGCCCACAAATAATTGGGGTTTACGAGCTGCGAGTAGCATTGTTTCTTCGCTTGGTGACTTGGCTTCAGTGCTTATGTTCAACGCTTTCTGGAGCGGGGAAGAAGGTTAGAAGACAGCACTCTGCGTTTTCGCATGGGGAATGCACATTTGGCTTATGCATTCTGATGCCGGCAAAAGCGGTGGGTTGGCAGCTTCCTCCTGTTTTGCCCGCTTTAGCTGGCAGAAGCCTTGTTGCGTCTCACGAAGAGGCAAGAGGCTCGCGATGCCATTTTTCGCCCAGCACGAGTGCGCTCTGGCTCTGGTTAAGCTTGCACTGTTTGCATATTCCGTAATTTAGACAACAGTAATTTCGCACAGGAACTAGCAGCTCGGCCATGAACCTGAAGCCTAGCCTGGCGCTTGCTCGTGCTTTCTTGCGCACAGCACCTGGTCGATGCTTGATTGCCTCAGAGGGCTGAATGTCTCGACATGTGCTTGGTGGCCAAGCAGATGCTTTGGGCCGTCCTGCCTGGGTTGGGAAGCCCCTCCAATGATACTCCCTGTTTCGCATGGTCGACATTGCAGCAAGTTGTGCAACAACGGCGCAGCCAATGGCTGTGGGCACGGCATCACGGTTTGCCATCCAAGCTAAGTTCAAGTCTCACCGGCCATACCACACCGGAGATATGTCCTCATGCCGACGCCGTCATGTCATCGTCATGCTGTCTCAAGGATGGATGCCTTGCTGAAGTTCGAGCTTTGAGGACCCATTTTCTGGGTGGCTCGATTCCACGAGCAAGGTATGTGGGTCTCGTTGAGTTGCCGAGACCGCTACTTCTGCATGCCCTGTCTGAAAAAGGACTTGTGAGAGACAGGCTTTGGCATATCAACCCAGATCACTTGAAGGGCAGAGCCCCGAACCAGACGTGGACTATTTTGCTGTCTGCCAAGCCGAGTTACATCCGCAACCACTCAAGTCCACTGCGTGATATTGCAGGATCTCCATGATTACGCCCATTGTAACTTCAAGGTCTGCGGGCCTTGACCCCCAAAGGCAGAGCCACTGAAAGTAGAATGTAAGAGCAACCGATTGCTCGTCAACGATGGAATGTACTGGCCGGTTGAAGGTCGCCGCATAATCTTCGGTCAAACTGGATTTTCTGTTGTCGGCTGTCATCTTCCAGTCATGGTCGTGCATGCTGTCAGCCATGTCTGGGCTGCCAGACAAGGCAGGTACAGATGCTTCCCGAAATCCCTTTAGGGTAGTTTCCCTTGAATTTCAATGTGCTTTCCCTTCACTTCAAGAAGGTGCATACTGTATACTGTACGCCTGCCCTGCCCCACCCTTCCCCACCGCCCTGGCCCGCCCTTGTGCTCCGGCTCGCCTCACCATCTCGATCTGGAAGAGTCTCTGCTTGGTCAGAGCCACTCACCGGTCTGCCCGCCCGACCACCCACCCACGCACCCACCCCCTACAGGCACCACGCATGCATGCATGAACGTCCGCACACTCGCTCGCTGAGCAATAATGCCTGGGCCGAAGTGTTGAGCATGTTTGAACGAACTCGAACAGGCCACGCTTTGCGGCGCCTCCGGCACCGTTTCTGCGGCTGCGAAGCAAAATCCGAACGAGGCAGAAACTGCATGGTGTCCGTCGGGGTGGAGATTTTCTCGTTTGTAAATGACACGCGTAGTGACTTCGGAATGCCTAGCTTGGTGCTGCCTCTCAAGTTCGATGGATCGAGACTCTGGATGGAGCAGGTAACTCAGGAAAAGATCAGGCACCTACCTGCGCGGGTGTGGCAGGCAAAGCCTTTCCTGACACATGACATGCACTTCAGCCGGTATTCGTCGTCGTCGTACTCGTACTCGTGCTCGTACTCGTACTCGTACTCTTAGTCGTAGTCGTAGTCGTAGTCGTAGTCGTAGTCGTAGTCGTAGTAGTAGTAGTAGTAGTAGTAGTAGTAGTAGGAGTAGGAGTAGGAGTAGGAGTAGGAGTAGGAGTGGGAGTAGGAGTAGGAGTAGGAGTAGGAGTAGTAGTAGCAGTAGTAGTGGTAGTAGTAGGAGTAGTAGGAGTAGTAGGAGTAGTAGGAGTAGTAGGGGTAGTAGGAGTAGTAGGAGTAGTAGGAGTAGGAGTAGTAGTAGTAGTAGTAGTAGTAGTAGTAGTAGTAGTAGTAGTAGTAGTAGTAGTAGTAGTGGTAGTGGTAGTAGTGGTAGTGGTAGTAGTAGTAGTAGTAGTAGTAGTAGTAGTAGTAGTAGTAGTAGTAGTAGTAGTGGTAGTGGTAGTAGTAGTAGTAGTAGTAGTAGTAGTGGTAGTGGTAGTGGTAGTGGTAGTGGTAGTGGTAGTGGTAGTGGTAGTGGTAGTGGTAGTGGTAGTGGTAGTGGTGGTGGTGGTAGTGGTAGTGGTAGTGGTAGTGGTAGTGGTAGTGGTAGTGGTAGTAGTAGTAGTAGTAGTAGTAGTAGTAGTACTACTACTACTACTGCTACGACTACCACTACCACTACCACTACCACTACCACTACCACTACCACTACTACTACTACTACTACTACTACTACTACTACTACTACTACTACTACTACTACTACGGCTACTGCTTACTGCTGCTGCTGCTGCTGCTGCTGCTGCTGCTTGGCTTCTCATTTGTCGTTTTCTGGTGGCGAGTTGATGCCCTAAGTTACGGTCAGGCGCTCCGTCTCCTTCTGCTGCTGCGCAGAGAATGCATCAAGCTCGATGCGGCCGTTCACCACGCGGCGCCGGGTTGGATGCAGAGTGTAGTGTCTGACCTTTGTGCCATCGAGCAGATGTGGAACAACAACAGGAACAACATCTTCCAGGGTGCTCGATCTCAGCTTCGTCGTTGGAAGCTTCAATGTGCGGTGGCGACTTCTGCTGGCGATTGTTTTTGCTGCTAGCATGCTCTAGGGACCCTAGTGATGGCGGCGGCGATCGCTGAATTCGCACGTTGCTGGAGTGCTTTAGTAATGCTTCCGTCAAGTAGAAAAATCGTATTCGTCAATAATTGTGACATCCGCAAAGCCTCGAGCTTTAGTTAGGACTCTGAATGCGGATTAGGGCCAAGCTTCGAGCCCATGGAAGTCAAGCGCTGTGAAAAACCTCCGAACACGAGTTGCAGATGTCGGAGTAGAGATCCTGTCGACCCGAATCCCAGGTTGTAGGTAGTCTGACGCCGACTCCAGAAAGTCTGAACTTGGAAGGCTCTCGGTGGCATGGCCCGTGCGGCTCGCTGGCCCCATGCACTCTGGCTGGCACAGCAGATGCAGGAGGCCGATTCAAGCCGACGCTTTAGAAATGCAGTGGGGCTTAAGCGGGCTTGGGTGCATCGGTCAGAACTCGGACATTAGCGACAGCAGAGTGGCCTGCAGCGTATCTCCCACCGTATCATCCTTGCGAAACAGGACGGCATATCACCAAACTCCATCACCACAACGTGCCGGGCTCGGACTGAGGAGTGCTTCCGACGGTTTCTAAAGCAAGATTGACGATTCCAAGGCTGCTCCTCGTTGCTTGTCGTCCACACCGTTGGTGCTCGGCACTGCTTCTGCTCACCTCCGCGATGTCACTCGCATCCTGGAATGTGGTTCTAGGCGGGCTGAGTCGTCACCGGCTTTGTGGATTGAGCCGGAAAGTCAACTGCGAGTCACTGTCAGGGACGCAGTCAACCATGATGCCCTCAACAGACCTCCCTCCACGACTTCGACGAAGATGACCACTCCTGTTGCTACTACAGTACCACTAAGCCTTTCCCGCTGACTCCTGCAACCTGTACTGTACTGATCTTCTCCGCGAAAATGGCGGCGAGCGTTTTTATGGGATTCGATCTCTCGTCGCTCTGCCTTTGCCGCTCTGCGGCTCGTCTCAGCTTCCTGAAAGGGCTGGCCCCGACTCCGCGCTTGGCCTTCCGGTGGCTGAGCCAGATGACGGAGTCTACGGTAAGGCGCAGAGCATCGTCTACCCGTTCACTGAAATCTGCATGATGACCAGGTTTTTTTTTTTTTTGCAAGCTTTGGAGCTGGTTGTCATGGTGCTGGGTTCGGGAAGGGATCTTCTAAGCCATAGCCGCGGCAAAGAGGCCCGATCCCGTCAGCTTCGGTGCCGTGGTCGCCAGCGCGAGCTGCTTGGCCCAATGTTGCCGGACATGGCGCTGCATTTGTGTGTTTATGCCCAGGCGTGTCTCACTCGGTATTGTGGAGCAGAAACCAAACGCCAAAACAGAAGACGTGGCTCTGAACCTTCAGGGCATGGCGTGTTGACACCCTGAAGACTCATCCTCCAAGCAGCTTCTGGCTTAAAGCACGTCCAGGTGCTGGGAGCTTCTGGCAGGAAGCCATAAGAGCCATGGATTTGGGGCGGAGCCAGGGAGCGAGGCGCCCCGGGCCAACTGCTTTCGAGCTGAAGGCTTTGGTTCGTGCAAGGATGTTCTTATGGTCAAGTCAAGTCAGAGGCACGACGTAATCTGTCTTTCGTCATCCTGATCGTGGCCTGCCATTCCATTTCTTGATCTTCCAGGGAACGTCCTCTGACTCTTCCGAAATTGTCTGTGCTCTGCGAGGCCACTGCCCGGAGCCCGCTGCGCCGCGCTCAGCGCCTTCGCTCGGTGCGCACGCTGGCGCACTGCACGGGAGGCAACATAGATGTGAAGAGGGAGTGGAGGATTTGGGAGCTAGGGCAGCTCGGCTTTGAGCGACCTGGGTGCTAATGTGACGATGTGTCAGAGTCAGTCTTCCGGCAACTCTCCTCAGTCTTGCTCGCTGGAAGCCCCAACTACCCTCCGAAAAACCCCAAAGGAGCGTTGTGAACTGAAGATTCTGACTCCAGAACATGAAGTCGTGGCCGCGAGGCCACGCGAGGTCCTCGCATCCACGACCTCACCAGGAAGAGAAGAGCCGCGAGCCAAGTTGGTCCGGAGCGAAACTCAGGGTGTCGGGGCCCTCGGCTGAGACTTCAACGTCTTTTGCTCTGATAGAGCACGAGCCTCTGGACCCGTCGGTTGCAAGGTTTTGCAAGGCCGTTCGCTCGTGCTCGGGTTTCCATGTCGGCTGCCTCTTTGCAAGCTTAAAGGGTATCGCGGACTGCACGCACAGCCGATGAAGCTTCCGTTGCTCTGGCTTTGTGAACACCTTGCTACAGCGTGAATCAAGGGCAAGCATACGGCAGCTTCCGGTTGCATCCATTGTCAGATGGCACCCTGAGGGGCGCACACTGCGAATAGGACGAGTGTGTTGTGGACTTCGGGTACGTCGGGGTACGGTTCTGCGGCTCGCGTTGAACGGGATCTCGAACGGCTTTGCGAAGCACAGAACCCGAACTCCAAAGACAGGTTTTACTACGTGGATGCACCCAAAAGCAGACGAGGCTCAATGCTGCCACCTCGGGAGCCGTTGAGCTCTGGGCCGCGCGACTGCAATTGGCTTTGAAAATTGGGGTTGGTGTTCGTGGTTTCATGGTTTCCAGTTTTGAGGCCTCGAGGCTTTGGTCTGTAGGATGTGCCCGAGAGATCACGAAGCGTGATTGATCTTGATCGTTGTTTAGTGTTCCGCGACCCTGTGTTTTCAGGACGAATTTGGAAGGAGGGAAGGGGACGTTTGACACCACGAACCTGCAACGAACATGCCAACTCATTCAAGAGTCGGTGTTTTGTGTTTGGAAGGGCTGTTGACGCATCGTAGTTGCATAGAGGCCCATTCAAAGGGCAGCCGTGAACTCGGCCTCGCTCCAGTAAGGATTTCCCCGAAACGCTGACTAACTCAATGCAGCCCGAGGCTGATGCTCTAGCGATCTTTTTCAGTCAGCGAGGCCTTTGCTCCAGAGTTTGCGGGTAGAAGCTTTGGGAGCTTGGCTGGGTCCTTTGCTGGAAGCTTGCCATGTTGGTCCAAGGGGCCCATCTTTCCAGCCTCCCAGTCGCAGGTCGTTCGGTGCGCCCGGACTCCTATGGCCGCAACGCTGCATCTACTGCGTTTACTGGCCGCAGCTCATTCTTGGTTTCACCTCCTACGTCTCGCTGTCAGCCCTCGCACTGTGCAGAAGCTGTTTTACGTTGTTGTCTGTGTCGCTCCAAGGAGCCTCCCCGTAAGCCAGAAGCTGCGGAAACTTCCAGTCCGAAGATTGCACCTCTGTGCTGTGCCAACAAACACTTCGTCTTCACCCCCGCAGGTGTGCTCGTGCTGGGCACTGGCGGCAGGCCCGGAAAACGTCGGGTCAAGGGCATTCTGGTGCAAAATTCCGTGTCTACACGTGGTGGTAAGCGTCCCTGACGCTTTCAATGAAGCTGTGTCCAACGTTCAGCCATGTGCCACCCAGGCGTATGCTCTGACCTTTCGGGTTGCTGACCTTGATGCCGTTGGCATCTTGGATCTGAAGCAGATACCAATGTGGGTGTCAAACACCAGATGGTGAAGGCACACTGGGGCTAGAGTTCCAAACTTACAACGACGTAGGTGACAAGCCACGTAGCTCCCAGTACGTGCTGGAGTTGGAAAGGCAGTGCCCTGCACAAAATTCTCGAAGCAAGACTGTTTGTGGATGATCAGGTATCGGCACCATCTTCAACGGGCTTGCCACCGCTGCCGCTGCAGCTCTGATTCCAGAGGCAGAGCCGTGGCCGTGCCAGCACACTGCCATTCTTTGCTTGTCTTCGGCCTAACAGGGTCCCTGCGAGGAGTCTGCGGCAAAAGTTATATCAGGTCTAGAGAAGAAGCGAAGCCGTGAGCCCCCGTGCAGGCTTGGGCTCACGCATGGAGCCTTCTAGCACTGATGGGAAGCCAAGGTGCCTCGGCCGTGCATTAACGTGGCGGGGATCACGTGCCTTGAAAAAGCTGTGCCGCGAAAAGTCGACAACGAGGTCAGTCGCTTGGGACTTGCCTAGCCGAACGAGTGGCAAGATGATCCGTGCCAGACGATCTGAGGAGACAACTTAAGGACGTGTCCTCTCGAAGCCAGGCATACTCCTGGACACGCTCGCTTTGAACGCCGCCGTCACGCTGCCGCGCTGGCAGCGGGCTGCTGTGCTGGTGGCCGCCTTCCCGGCCGGGGGCGGTGCGAGTTGAAGAAGGGCCCTTCTTGTAGTCAGCAGTTCTGGTCCACGAGGACCTGAGGGAGAGAGACACGACGAAGGCAGGAAGGGCGGTTCCTTAATTCAGGGCCCCTGCGCAGGCCCATCAGCTACGACCAAATTCCAGCAACCAGACGGCAAGTGTCAGTTGGGGACGAGGTGCATGATGTGAGTTGACATGATACGAAAGGATGTCACAACTGCTTGGATGGGATGGGCTCAACGAACATGAAATCAGGACTGATAACACAATTCAGGATCGACAACATGCTGCAAGAGCAAGCACGACATACAGAAAGAAAGCCAGCAAAGAGAGCACAAGCGATACCTGACCAACGAAAGACAGAAAGAATGGAATTTGCAGAAGGAAAGAGACAAGCACAAACTACTGCTGCTGCTGCTGCTACTGCTGCTACTGCAACTGCTAAAGGGACTGCTACTGCTACTGCTACTGCTACCGCTACTGCTACTGCTACTCCTACCGCAACTCCTACTGCTGCTGCTGCTACTACTACTACTACTACTACTACTACTACTACTGCTGCTGCTGCTACTACTACTACTACGACTAGGACGACTAGGACGACTACAACGACGACTACGACGACTGCGACGACTACGACGACTACGACGACTACGACTGCTACTACTGCTGCTGCCAGTGCTGCTGCGACGGCGACGACTTCTACTGCTACTACGACGACGACTGCTACTACGACTCCTTCTATTGCTAACACTATTGCTGCGATTACTTCCACTACTACTACTACTACTACTACTACTACTACTACTACTACTACTACTACTACTACTACTACTACGGTGACGAATGCTACTGCTAGGGCCTGCTACCACTACGATTGCGCACACTACGTCGAACACAACGACTACGAAGACTACGACGACTACGCCGGCTACGACGACTACGACGACTACGACGACTACAACGACTACGACGACTACGACGACTACGACGACTACGACGACTACGACGACTACGACGACGACGCTGACTACCACGACTACGACCACTACGACGACTACGACGACTACGACGACTACGCCGACTACGCCGACTACGACGACTACGACGACTACGACGATTACGCCGACTACGACGACGACGACGACGACTACGACGACTACGACGACGACGTCGACAATGACGACTACGACGACTACGACGACTACGAAGACGACGACTGCGACGACTTTGCCGCCTGCGCCGACTACGACGACTACGACGACTACGCCGACTACGACGACTACGTCGACTACGACGACTACGCCGACTACGACGACTACGACGACTACGACGACTATGCCGACGACGACGACTACGACGACTGCGACGACTACGACGACTACGACGACTACGACGACTACGACGACTACGACTACGACGACTACGGCGACTACGACGACTACGACGACTACGACGACTACGCCGACTACGACGACTACGACGACTACGACGACTTCGCCGACTACGCCGACTACCATGACTACGACGACTACGACGACTACGCAACTACGACGACTACGACGACTACGACGACTACGACGACTACGACGACTACGACGACTACGACGACTACGACGACTACGCCGAGTACGCCGACTGCGACGACTACGACGACTACGACGACTAGGACGACTTCGACGACTTCGACGACTACGACGACTACGACGACTACGACGACTACGACGACTATGACGACTACGACGACGACTACTACCACTGTTACCCACTACTACTACTACTACTACTACTACTACTACTACTACTACTACTACTACTACTACTATTACTGCTGGCGCCAGCAGCTCCTGCCTGCAACTGCTACGACTGCTGCTACCACCAATTCCGGGTTAGCTTGTTTTGGATCCGGTCTACTTATGCTCGCAGCTGGATCGTAGTTTCAGTTTTTGACACTGAGTTTTCTAATGTTCAAGGCTAAATTCTTTGATCCTAATAACTTAAAGCGCTGAGCCGCGCTGGACGTGATCCGTACCAAGTTGCTCAGCAAGCAGTCACCAGTCTCTGCGATCTACTGACTATCGCACAGGCTGGAACACAGAACGAGTTGCTTGTGATGCTAAGAGAATACGTATTTGTTAAGGACAATGTAGCAAGGCTCTCATGGTTGGATGGCAGCGCTTTTGACTTCTGTTGGTGATTGAACTTAAGCCCCAAGCCCAAGTTGAAGACTCCAAAGCACCAAAGTCCACCACGAAAGCAGTCGTAGTAGCCCAGGCACTCTCGCGACAGTGCTCTCTAGCCTTGCAGACAGAGCGCTCTGGGTCGCTCCTCCTGTTTTGACGGATGCCGACAGTGAAGCTGTGTACGAGTAGAATACAGTGTCCAAGAGCGTAGAATACAGTGTCCAATATCAACTCTGTATCCGAAGTAAGATATCCTCGGTACACCGTTCATGAGGTACCATGGACAAAGCACATAGAAATTGATCTGCCCGGCGTTGACAGAATTCGTAGCCCTGCGCCCCCGTCCGCTATTGACGAGTTTTTGCATAGACTGACTGAGTTCGTCGAAGGTTCTGACCTCGGGGGGTTGTTCGAAACCGTACAACAGTAGCTAAACACAGAAGGAAGTGGCGCTTGGACTACTCGCAGCACGCAGTGCAAGCGAAACGGCGCCGATCAATGCAGGCCAGATCTCACGGACGGGGTGTTCTGTTGGGCTCGGTATGTCAGGACTTCAGGGTTCAGGGCCAAAAGAGAGTGCATCATTGTGGGCTTCGGCAGTGTTGACTTCTGATAGGGCCTCCTACCTGTCCTAGCATTAGCTGCTTTCCCAGCCGAGAAACCGAAGCGATGTGCACAAGTCACACCGCGCTGTCAAGTCTTGTCCTTGACGGGGGCTAAGCGGCTAGTTCGTGTTGGTTGTCCTCACCACTGCCAGTTTCTGGAGTCAAAGGTCCCCTGACCGTGCCCAGTAGAATCATGGTCGACAAGGCATTGCTGCCTGTGATCGGGGAGGTGCCTGGCAGAAAGCTCTGGGCAGGGGGCTTACAGGACTCCGTTGTTCGCGCTTCCAAACGAGCAGACCCGGACTGAAGCCTCTGCTCCGTAGGATCACCCATTGTGGCCCTTGGTTCCTATTTGCCGTAGTGCACAAGGCCTCCTCACGAAGCGGGGTCTGCGCCGCGACGAAGTTGGCTTCGGGGCGGCGCAGAGTGCCGTCGGGACCGGGTTTTCAGCTTTCTTGGGTTGTAGAGCTTCTTGTCGATGCAAAGATGACTGACAGCACAATGGCCTTAACCTTGATGCCGTCGAAGTCGACATGGTGACAAGCAGTGGCCACGTAGGCAACTTTTCTCGAAGCTTTGTGCTTACACGCGCAGTGGCAGGAAGTCCGGTGACTGGGCTGGCGCCCTCTCCCTCTTGAGTGAAGGCACGGCGCAAGACGACGGTGGCAAGTGTTGCTTCGACTGGGGTCCGACCATAGGTTCAAGACCTTAGCAGCTGTTGCGTGGAGACAGGTGGCCGTTTATGCGAGTTGGGCAAGAGCTCTTGAGTGTTCCGGCAATGGCACTACGCCGACCAAAGAGTCACTGTCACCAAAGTTCGGACCTTTCTTCAGGCCGTTTGTTTTCCTTGAGAGTGACGGAAGTGTGACTTCTCTGAATTCTGGAACATCTGTTCTTCAGTCAAAAAGAAGGCTGAGAGGAAGTAAGTGGAGGTGAGCATTAGCCAGTGCCTAGCCGAACTGCATAATACATCCAGAGGAAGCCCAGTTGCATGTCTGTTAGACAAGTTGAAGCAACTTCTCGGAACGCAAGTAAGCCTAAACCCTAAACCAGCCGTTGAGTTCACTCCGTGACCTTGGGCAGGGCCGCAGGGCGATGTCGTGATGGTAGCTCATTGTGATGCGATGGCATGTCTTCCTACTAGTTTTGCAGCTGTAGCGGCCGTCCTGATGCATCATCACAGTCACATTTGACACCTTGTGCTGGGTTTGGAGCTGCTAGTACGGCAAGCTGGTGGTGAGGGTGGTGAATCCCCCTTTAGCCCGGTGTCAAAGGAGCTGTGGTCCCTCGACCACGCTGGACGTCTTGCGGTCACCAAAAGACACGAGGGTTCAAAACAAAACCCTAAATACTAAACCGTAAGTCCAGCTTAGGTCGCTGGCAGCTGCCCTCGCTTCGAGCCAAAAAGTTTGGAAGGCATTCGGAGTTGAGCGGTGGATCTTCTGCATCTGGCGATTTTCCTCTGTTGACATGTCGTTTTAAGGGCAGAGAATTTGAAGATGGGGAGCCTTCTGCATCTGGGTTGCCCACTTGGCCAGGGCCCTCTGAAGGCATTGCCTCTTTAGGAGAAGCGATCGTCCCTGAGCAGTCCTGCCTGAGCCTACCGCACGTTTCGGTGCAAGGCCGCAGTGTCCTTGCAGGGCTGGGCGGTTAGACGAATGCTGGAGGTGCGGGAGCTGTGTTGCGTCTCTTCTCTTGGCGGCGTTTTGGTGGAAGCCGGGGCGGCTTACCGATTTGGTTTGGGGGTTGACGCAAGCTATGGAACCGTCCGATGTGCTTCAGAGCATTACATTCAACTTTCAATCTTTCGTTTGACTGTGAGTTCACGTGGCGCCTTTCCGGCTTTCTTCACAGCTTGAGCTTCCTAGGCCTCTCGACACAGGAACCTTGTTCGACGCTTACGCCCTACCTGCCTGCTTTTGGCGCGAGGTTGCGGAGCTTGCGCGCCTGGCACTGCTGCTGAGACCGTTCAGTTTCTGGATTCGCTAATCAATCTCGTAATGACAGGGTGGGGAGGAACACTAGCTCGCGCAACTTTAATTTATCAATGTGAAGCGTGAGTTAGGAAGTTCACACTTCGGGAGTCAGGACACTCGAAGAAGCGGGTTTGAGCAGCAGGGCAAGCTGCTCTTCGGGGGTTTTGAACCTTCACACATCCGCTTTGAAGCACAATGGGATACTTTGGACAGTATCATGTAGTATCGAAGGGCAGTCGAGCACGGAGACAGGCTGCATTGGAGGGCGCATTTGAGCAGCTAGCTAGCTCTATTTTCGCCTTTGTAGAAGGCGCGGGTGAAGGATGGACTTTGCAGGGTCATTGTAGCTGTCGAGTGGATTCCAAGCAACGTGCACGAAGAGAGTCATCGTGCGAGAAAGTTTATGTTCTGATGAGCATGGTATGCCGGCCTGCCTGCCTTTTTCCATTTACTCGCCATTCTCTATATCAGAATACTTACCTATGCGTCTATCTATCATGAGCATTGTCTGGACTATGGCGAGTTGCACTTGAACTGGTGGAGGAAGCAGGCACTGGAACCGAGTGCATGAAGATCTTGCCCCGCCGATCATGCATTGATTCTGAACGAGTCTCAGGCTCGCTTCCACAGGTGCGGCAGGGATCTGGACCCGTTCGTTGCTGCTGTGGCCAGCCTCGCTAGGAGTGCATTTGGGTTGAGGTTTGGGCTGGAAGATGTCCATCCATCAGTTGATGCATTGGCATTCAGCTAGGTCTTGTTGGCGCAGGATGGGCAGGTGAGTCTAAGGAGGAAGATTCATGGCGGGTTTTGTCGAACACCTTCTCTCACAAATTGACTAAGCACCATGGACTTTGGGAATTGCTGTTGCTTTCAATGGTTCTTCGACGACTTCCGCAAGTGTCCTCAGGAGATGCGAAGGACACGGCGCTTCGCAGCACCAATGCCGCCGTCTCGCCTCCTGGCCTGCAACTCTCGGGCCCCCAGGCTTTCTCATCCGAGCTTCAGAGAGGCAGATGCTGGAAGCCCTGTGCCCCAAGCCAAGCCCAAGGTCCTGTGCCGTCGCCTCGGCCTGGCGCTGGGCTGTTCGACTGGTCAGCGAAGTCGCCCGGCAGCAGGTCCAAGTCTTTGGAAAATCGAGGCATGCTTGGTAGTCCAGCCAGGTTGTGTTCAGGGGCCGACAAGATTCTTGTGAGCATATTGACGGGATCTGCAGAAAATCCTGGAAGAGCTGAAGCTGAGGTCAGGAAGTGGGAGCTGTCGCAGACGGCCATCACGCAGCTGCTCTGCTGATACGTACCAGTGACAACAGGCTCAGTGACAACAGGCTGAGTAGAGCAGAAGCCTTAGATGGCGACTTGCGACAAATACTGACTTGCAGACCGTCTTGGCATCTGAGTTGGAACGCGTCGGGTTGCAGTCTTGGGATCATCCGGATCCCGAACTCAGCTCTGGTGTGCTCAGACCTGTCAAACTCGGCCCTAACTGAGCCTCGAGGTGGAAAGTCTTTTGCCTTTTGCCAAGCTTTACCAGGCAGGCGGCCTTGGCCGCTTTCGAAGCTTCCGGCCAGAGGCGGCGCGCGGCCGCCTTACTGGAGGCCGAAGCATGGGTTGTTCTGCGCTTTTTCGGCGCTTGGAGTTTGAAGTCAGCTACGATGCAGCAGCGTGTGCATGCATTCTTTGCGATTCCGTGACAGCTTTTTTGAAGCATCCTTGGAGGCCCGTCCGTACTTGCCCAGGTTTCTGTGCGTTCTACTGAGTTCTGCAGAGTTGCTACACATGTGGACGCTGCTTAAGCGCTAAACTCCAGCGATGTTTCCAGATCTGAAGCCACCGGAAGTTTGTCGGCGATCCACAGGAGCTCAACGAAGCTCCAGCTGCCCTGAGACCGAGCAGAAAGGGCCTCTCTGAAGCTGGCGGCTTCCATAGGTTTTAGGCCGTAGGCTTCATGAACTCCAGGCACTTCTCGCGACTTCGTCCTTTGTCTCATGTCATGTCTCATCTGCTGCCTTAGGGCTCGGCTCCCGGAGGGAGCAAAGTCGGGGAAGGGAATGGCCCACGGAGGCCCAGGCGCTCGGGCGCTCCTGGCCTGCTGAGCTGAGGCCCCGCGGACCTGTCTGCAGCAGTTCGAGGCGGAGGAGAGTTGGCCCTCCCTCGCTGAAGCCGAGGGGAGTGGACAGTGGCCCGCTCCTGTGGAGACTCGGGCTACGGTTGCACCCTCGCCTGCTCCGCGGAGCGCTGAAGCTCCTCCCCAAGCGCGAATTCACGAAGGCCGCTCTTGCTCAGCTCTGGTTGTCAACGAGGGCGGAACCCCTCTGAAGAAGAGTCGAGGAATCTCCCGATGCCTATTGTGCACGGTGAAAGGCACTCCGTGCTGAAGGCCTCAGGCCCGGTGGATGGTTGAGCTTGGCAGTCCGAACTTTCTGCGTTGGGCAGATGTCACCTATCACTCGCTGCAGAAGTGGGCCTACAACTTGGTGTACGTTGGAATCGGAAAACTGCCACATCCGGCGACAAGCGCGCAAGAAGCTCCCTGAGGCCCTGCGATGCGATCAACGACTGAGCCCTGCAATGCTAGAGGCATCTCACCAGCCTCAGAAATTGCAGTCCTGCAGTCCCACAGTCCAGAGTGTAGATTGTCCGACTGTGGGGGGCTGCAAACGAAGACCAGAACACCCAGCCTCTTTAAAACCTACCTTCCAAGCCAACTCTGCCCCTCTACATCGGCGCTGCTGGTGCCACCGCGCAGCCGCTGTGCCCTGGTGCCCAGCGTCTTGGACATCTTCCACGAGGCAGTTCCGGGTCTTGCTGACTGGTGCCCGTAATGCAGAAAAGCGATTGTGTGACGAGCAATGTTTATGTACCCAAGAGATGGAGGCGATCCTGCATAGAGGCGCCCATGTAAGCAACAGGAGAATACGTATCGAGATCGACGGCAGCCTGAGCGTGCGCAGTGGATCGTGTAAACTTCGCTTGCGCCGCCAACCGGCGTTTTACGTGTTGAAGAGTCCTTGGTGCCGTTACAGCAGCGGCACGCGGAAACCGACTGCTCCCAGCTGCTTTGTCACGCGAGCGGGTTTGCTTTGCATCCAGGCGAGCTCATACTCCAAGTCCTGCGGAACGAAGATGTTGTTTGTGTAGGACCCGACAGCAGAAGCCGCCCTCTTTCCGGGGCATGGCAGTGGGTTCTTGGCTAGATTCGTGTCGCGCCAGAGCCTGGAGATTCAGACGCCGAACTACGCTGCCTGGGGCAAGTTGTGGCAAGAAGCGACTTCGGATTTCCGCGCGTTCAAAGTCAGGCTGCGGGTTGGAGGGTAGCACAGCTGACAAATCAAAACTGGAGGCACTTTCTGGCTGAAACAGAGACCTGGGCAGGCAGTCGGCTGCGCCACAGGTTGTCCGTGGCAATGGTTCCTGCGCAGAACATACCATGGTGTTTTGACTCTCCAGCACAGTACTGCCCCGGGCCTGGAGGCACCAGCAGTCGCTCCAGCCGCCTCCAGGCTTTGCAGTGCTGTTTGCCGGTGAGATGCTCCAGATTCTCACGAACGGAAGCGTGAAGGCCTTGCGGCACCGTGTGTCGGCGCAGGCAGGTGCCAAAGGGCAGTGCGCTCGACAGTCCAATATCATGTTTCTCCAGCCCGAAAAGAACACACTAGCACAGCCCCTGGCGCCTTACGTTCTTGGGAATGGACTGGATCTAGCTGCCGTCCGATACGGCGGGTGGCACAAGACCAGCCTAGCATTCCGTCAGCCGTTTTGCCCCACATGCGAACATGTGAAGGTGCTGGAGTCGAGGAGCACGGACGGCTTTCGGAGACTTGGACCTGTAGCACAGGACTCTCGGAAAAGTCTGTGGACTTTTGTGTCAGGGCGACTTGGCGGGTGGCCAGTGCCGTTCACCATCGTTGCTCGTTTCACCCGAATAGCCTCCAAGCATTTACCTATTCAACTCGTTGAGAGGAGTTGTGAGCACCGACTATGGGAAGGCGAGTGCGTGCAAATCTTGTCGACATCTTTTGCAAGTTGGGGTTCGTGCAGCATCGGCAGAAAATCTAGATGCGGGTGAAGACCTATACTCCGCGAGCTTCAGCCTTGAGAACACAGCATACAGGTAGATGTAGGGCCTGTAGGAACAAGAGATGACATACGAGGCGTTTTGGATCCTTCAGCTGCATGCAGCATGGTCCTTTGATTGAAGCGTAGCTGGGCCGGACGAAAAAGTGCTGATCAAAAATGATAATGGTTCAAGCACATGCGACCTGCGTCAAAAGCGAGGTCGAGCAACAACGAACCTGACTCATGGACGGCAGATGACGGCAGGGGACAGTTCAAACTAATTGGAACACTTGTCAGCTCAGCACACAACGCCTTTCAGGCGGGCACTTGTGCTACAACGGGAAGTCGCTTTGCACATCAACCGCGTGGAAGCTTGCAAATCTGGCACTGACGCATGCCGTGGCCTGTGTCACAGTTTCTTAACCTGAATTTGGGCTCTTCAGGTGTCCGCTTCGCTCCCTTGTGCCCTTTCTGTCCCTCGGTCCCGCTTGCTGCGGCCATGTCGTCAACCAAGAAGCAGTCCAAGGTGGGGTGACATGGGCTCTGGTCGGCTCGCGCACCAGGGAGTCACGAGTACTGGATGAGCATTTTGGGTATATATAGAGAGTAGAGATGTGCTTGAGGTATCAGCAGTGGCTTTCAAGGTGCTATGGAGGTAAGACTGCATGGGTCTCTATGTGGAAAGTCCGTTGCGTGACGGCAGAGTAGGATGCTAGCTTCAAGCCCGCCGGTTTTTATATAGCCCTTCCGATGCCCAACAGCTCAATCCACCGGATCCGTTGCCATGCAGGCTTCCAAGTCTGCAGACTCCATCAATGCCCGCGACTGAGAGTTCGGTCTTGCACGCTGGCGGAATGGTTGCAAGCAAGTCTGTAACACAGCAGTGCTTTGGAAATGGCTCTGCCTCTGCATGGTTTTCCGAACTTCTGAATCATGTGTAGGGCAAGCTTGAAGGAGGAGTTGGTAGGGTCTCCCACAGACTTGGCCGATCGTGTAGGCTGAGGTCTTGAGGTGGAAGTATGTGGGTAGCTTTGGAAGGGCCTCTGACGTGCATGTATGATCTGCAATGTCCATTTCCCACCCCAAGCCGTTTCTTACTGGTCGAGGCTCGACTGCAGTTGGTGATGAAGAGTGGCAAGTACAGCCTGGGCTACAAGACCACCCTGAAGACCTTGAGGCCTTGGCTTTCAGTTTTCTGATTCGTGTATTTGCAGGCACGAGGCATCTGGCCCTGCAGCTCTAGAGGCTGTGACAAGTCGTGACGTTCACCCTCGGTGCTGAGTTTCAGTGTCAGCTCGGGCTCGGTTTGGGTGGACTTGGGAGCTGTTTGGGAAGCCTGAACTGGTAATCCCAACACCTTCCAGCCTCTGAATCTGAAGCCTTCATCGGCCCCTGGGCCCCTGAGGCAGGGCAAGTCCAAGCTGGTTCTGATCTCGAACAACTGCCCCGCTTTGAGGAAGAGCGAGTTCGACCCTCAAGGGGGCACAGCACAGACTAGTAGCCAGTCTTCATGCCAACTCGTGCGGAGAGGACATGATGCACAAATCATCGAAGATTTTTGCTCACATCCGGAGCATACTGTGCAGAGGCATGTGGTGTATTCTGCACAAGTCTGCATTTTCGACAGCTGGAATCTTGCACACTTCCCCAGTAAGGATTGAGTACTACGCGATGCTGGCCGGAGACTTGAAGCTGTGTTCAGGTAGAGTCTAGGCCGTGCCTGAGCGTTTCGTAGCTCTGGTCGCAGATAAAGTCTCGACCTCTGATGTTGCAGCAACTTAGTCTTCGCGATGTTGAGGGCTCTATGCTGATCAACATCTTCGCATGGTTCGGGGATTTTGGGTAGTGCTTTGATGGGGATCGCGTTGTCCCATATGTGGACCTACTTCGAAGGAAATTCGTAGGAGCCATCCGGAGTCTCCCGAAAGAGCACCCCGAGGCCAAAACTGGAGTTCACCACTTCCATGGTGACAACAACGAGCTCGGAACTGCCTGCGGTCGATACTACCGTCCCGCCCTTGACACATCCCTGCAAATGCCAGGATCATCTCATAGCTTTGCGCTGCTTGGTGTCTCGACTGTGCTGTCATGCGTTCCTCTTGCACACGAACTATCACGCTCAAGCGCTACAAGCCGCCCCTGGCCTGGTGTTCGAAGGCGTGAGCTGCCTCTCCATCACCGACCCCGGCGACTCCGACATCATCCGATCCCTGCCCGGCCAGGTGGGGCACTCAGGCGAGCAAAGGACTCGGAGTCTATGCTGCACCTTCGAGCCTCCAATCACCGGCGTTTTTGAGCTTTGACTTTGCTCGGGGCAGATCTGGCAGCTCCCAGGCCGGAAGCCAAAAGCCCTCAGCAGTCATCGCTCTTCCGATTCTTTGAAGTTGTCATCTTCGCGGGGCGGGCAGAATATGCTGCAGGAGTGAAGAGACGACAAGGGCATGATCAGTGGGAGCAAGGCCGGAGACGCATTGCTTCAGCAGATTGAAGCCCAGACCCAAAAACCCAAGCTATATGCAGCAGAACCTCGGTGTCGTACTACTTGCTGTTCACTGCAGGATGGCACAATGCGGAGCGAGAATAGAAAAATATCAGAAGATTCATATTCTTCTAATAATTCCGTATCCTGTCCATACTCTTTCGGAATCAAATTTTCCGCTTTAGCAATAGATCATAATAATACGCACAATCTGGAACACCCAAGACTATACAAATATAGACTATAGAGAATATGCGACTTCTGGCAGGCCTACTATTTCTCTTCAAGAATCGAATTTTTGATCATGATATATATATATATAT